ATTATTTATGTTAATTTATATTAATTTCGATGTTTCTATCACCTAGCCATTGGCAGTCATGGGTCGTGTGCTGGTCGGTGAAGGAGTTCTAACAAAAATGTGCCGAAAGAAACCAAAAGCAAGACAGTTTTTTTTGTTTAACGATATCTTAGTTTACGGAAACATAGTCATCAATAAAAAGAAATATAATAAACAACATATAATTCCATTAGAGGAAGTCAAACTTCAAAGTCTGGATGATGATTCTCGTAAGAGCTATAAATAAATATACTTATTTATGAATTTTCTAATTTTTATTTAAATATTATGTTTTAATTTGTAGAATTCCTTAATAGTTGGTTAATAAGAACTGCCTCAAAATCATTTGCAGTCTCAGCTGCAACAGCGACTGAGAAACAGGAGTGGATGGCTCATATTAATAAATGCATAGAAGATCTGTTAAGAAAAAGTAAGTTTTAATAGAAGATGTCTTTATACATTTGTTTAATAAATTTAAAATATACCTTTATGTTTGAACAGTAATATTTCCAGAAACTTGGTTTTAACCCAAGGTTTCTTAGAATATTTGTAAAAAATAATTGTGCTCAAATATTATGCAATTTGAACATAAAAATTAACAGCAAATTTAGTGCAGATTTTGTCCGTAATTAAGTGAATTTTTTTTAGAAAATTATTAGAACAAAGAAATAATAAATAACCAGGATTAAATAAATTGAAAAATAATTGTTATGCATAATTTTCACATACAACGATGTAAATATTTATAACACAGTGAATTAAATTGAATTTATTATAGGTAACTTAAACTAGTTGGTTTGGTATTTAGCCTTGAGGCAAGTTACATGAACTTCCCGATATGTGTAAATAATCGACTTAATCAAAAAAAATGTGTAAATAATATACTTCATCAATAAAAATATCATAAAATATCATAGAAAAACGATAATAATTTTAGCAAAGTTTGACGAATTTTTAAAATTAAACTACTTGTTGTAAGGCCGTAATATTACAGTAAGTTCTATAAGACCATGATGTATATCGCCAAAAAAAGTTCCATGAAAATCGGCTTAAATTTTTTTTTTCAACAGTTTATTACAAGAAAACGGCTCGGTAGATTTTCACCTAAAATTAATCAGTACCATTCCCAACTAATATCTTTCAAACAGTTTTTGATTTTTTAAAATCGGTTCGGTAGGATGAGCTTAAATGTGGACGAAAAGTTTAACACTTTTTTTCAAATTACAAAGAAACGGCTTGGCAAATCGTCGCACAAAACTGACAAACGATAGTCCTCATCCAAATACATCAAATGGCTTTTAAATTTCTGAAATCGGTTCAGGCGTTTTTGAGAAAACGTCGATGAAAGGTCTAATTTTGACAAATGCCAAAAAACGTTACCAATTTTTGCAAACTTTGACGAATTTTCAAAGTTAAACCAATTGTCGTAGGATCGTAATATTTTAGTAGGATCTAGAAGACTATGATATCTACCGTAAAAAAAAAATAATCATAAAAATCGACGAAATTTTTTTTTAAAAAACTTTAACAAGAAAACGGCCCGGCCGATCTCTACCAAAAACTAATAAGCACGATTCCCAATCAATACCTTTCGAACGGTTTTTGAATTTTCATAATCGGTTCAGAATTGCGGGCTAAAACGTGCACGAAAATTTTTTCACTTTTTTGCGATTTATAAAGAAACGTCTCGGCCGATAAACGTACCACAAAACTGGCAAACGATAGTCCTCGTCGAGATACATCGAATGACTTTTAAATTTTTGAAATCGGCCCAGCCGTTTTCGAGAAAACGTCGATTTACGGCAAAAAATCTGTTCACATACACACACACACACACACACACATACTTTTTCCAAATATGGTCTCATTCGATTCAGAATGGCTTGAAACTTCGAGAAAACATAAAATTAGCGAATCGGATTTTTTTATGAAAACATAAACTTCTCCTTCGGGAAGTTAATAAAATTACTTTTATTTTACAAATTATATAAATGTATTTATTCAGGTGGCAAAAAGGCTGTTGAACAACATGCAGCAGTTTGGGTACCCGATAATGAAGCAACGGTGTGCATGCATTGCAAAAAGACTCAATTCACAATGATTGTCCGCAGGGTAAGAGCATTAATATAAATTAATACTGAGAATTTTTTTTATAATAATAATTATTGTAAATGTATAATATATTTTTCAAATTAAATATGAACTTTAAATTAAATTGAAATAGCTTTTTGTGTAAGAAAATTGAGTCTAAATACAAAGAATTAAATTTTTTTTAGTAATATTTCCAGCTTTTCACACATTTTTTTATACAAATAAAATATATATTTTTTAATTTAACATAGAACATCTATTTTATTATATTAGAATAGTCCTATAGTTTATTAAAACAATTATATGAAAAAAAAATTGAAAATGTAATATAATTAATACATATTAATTTTATTTTATAAATAAAATTAATTTTAAAACATTTAAGTCTACGGGAAAAATCTATCTATATTATGTTTTAAACATTTATTTTAATATTTTAAATATAGATAAATATATTTGTATTGTAATGATTCTTTTTCCATAGCATCATTGTCGTAAATGTGGAGCAGTAGTTTGCGGTCCATGTTCAGCTAAAAAATTCTTGTTACCTGGACAAAGTAGTAAACCTTTGAGAGTTTGTATGCAGTGTTACGACTCACTGTCAAAAGCAAAGCAACAAGACTATACTAAAAGTGGTAATGTTAAAAATTTATTCATTTTATTTACTGTCTAATTAAATAAACCAAAATTAGTATTTTTAGAAATTTAGATTTTTATACATTTATTTATAATATATAGATTTAATTATCATTGACTGATCAATTTGAAATAATAAATAATTGAAGTATTATTTACAAATATTTGAAATTTTCATTGAAATACTGAAATCAAAATATATATTTCAAACAATTTATTGAGTATAACTAGCATATTTGTTTAAAATTGGATATTCTTCAATATTTCTAATATCATAAAGTTTTACAGTAATTCAGTATTTTTATGTAATTACATTAAATCAAGAATCTATGAAAGTTTTTAGTTTTATTTTATAATTAAAACTTTATGTTAGTCTGTTTGAAGATTTTTGTAAGATAATTAATCTAAATAGCTTAATCTTAATTCTCATTGATCAAGTTATTTATTTACATTGTTACTTTACTTTTATCAGGAAACATGCAACTTGCTTTAAAGCAAAATGCCACTCACACCTGCATTTAGATAAAATATATAAAAATGTTCAAAAGCCATATTTGGGAATGTTTCATACTTTTACTGAAAAATTTTAATCCAAACAAATAACAATATCTTAAATATAATGAACCAATTTTTTATTTTTCAATTCTTACATGAACTATTCATTAAAATATAAAGCTATACATAAATCATAATTATAAAATTCATAATTTCATTTATAGATGGAAAAGATCAACAAAAAAGCGGTTCAGCTGAATCTTCAGGAGAAGACGATACCGATGATGAAGATGATGGCAGAAATCCTCAAACTGAACATGAAAATGTAAGTTTTCTTGGCTAATAATAAAATTATTCAATATTATCCATTTGCATTTAGCAGATTTTAAAGTATATACAAATATCTAGACATGATAAATGCATTATTAATTATTACAGAGATTTCAAAGCCACTATATGGGCAGTTTACAAAAAATTTGACAAAAATTTTATTGTGTATATGTAAGTTGTGTCGTTCGATGATGTGATCTGAGTTTCATTTAAAGAGTGTTCTAATTTGCATGTTTTCTTTTTCTTTAAACATTTATTTTATGATTAGTGTTACTGAATTTTTTTTTGTATTATGTGATAAGGTCACAAATGACATGCAAAATTCTACTATTGAACATCCTTTTAGCAGAAAAAAAATAGGGGAAAATTTTTGAATATATATATATATGTATATATATATATATATATATATATATATATATATATAAATTTCTGATGGAATTTTGTTTTTTTTCAACTTTGCATGTTCTATGATTTACATATTATATCCTTCACTCTATATGTCTAAATCTTCAATCTCTTTCAGCCCAAATTTTATGGTGACGGTGACAAAAATGAAGATACTTCACAACAGTGATAAAAGATTTTAACTAAAAAAAAGAAAGGCGTATATATTTTTATGAGAATTTGTTATAAATATAATTATTAAGCACAAAATATTGTTATAGTGATATGTGAAACACTGCATATATATATATAAATATAAAATCACTAACTAATATAAGTATAGACATAAAGAGTAACTATCAACGAACTAATAATTAATATTATGCATTTCAATAATTGTTTTATATGTAGGAAACATTCTAAATCTTCAATTAGGTTGTTGCCAAGAAGAAATTTGTACCAAGTACGAAATTAGATAATTGTTTTTAACAAAAAGTATTGTTATCTTGCATAAAGAATACTGTTAAGAGTATATACATATACATTATAAAAAAATATGAATAATAATTATCTTTGTATATTATATTTTTTCTACGAGCACTATTATAAAAGACCTAAAGTTCTTATGAAATTGTAGAAAATTATGGAGATCAAGTAAACTTTGCAATTCTAAACATTTCTTTCATCTACATACATATCAATGGTATATTTCTAACCTGCAAGTATTTGAAAACTCAAGCATTGATACATGTTCTATTTATTTATTTAAAAAATTGAAATATAATAATAAATTATGTTATAGCCATAAAATATACAGCTAATAAAATTATATTGCTTATTAAAACGGGCTAGTCACTACAATTCACCAGATCACATTCAAATAATTATTAAATCGAGTTCACATTTCAATACGAACAGCAATCATGTCCATTTTTAGTTAAAAAATTTTCAAATAATAAGTTGGAAGTGCAAATATAAATATAATAATGTTTTTCATGATAGCACATTTAGATTATTTGAACAAATAACAAAAATTGACAACATAATTTGTCAAGAAGTTGGAAAATGAAATTATTTGCTCAAATATGTACATTTTCATATTTGTTCATTTTTTTTTTATCAGGGGTTTGGCAACGGCTCTTTCTTTGCTTCATCCGATGCATTTGTTTTGAGATCCTCTTTCTCTTCTGGAAATAAATAATTGTAAGTGATTTCAAATTAAATCAGATAAAAATAATATATATATATATATATATATATATATATATATACATATATATATATATATACATATATATATATATATATATATATATATATATATATATATATATATATATATATATATATATATATATATATATATATATATATATATATATATAATGTGTGTGTATATATATATATATTAGGGTCGTCCTTAATATGGAAATTTTCGAATTTTATTGCTCCCAGAGGCTTAAGTGCTTCCAAATTGATAAAAAAAATTCTCTAGAAGTTTTAGCTCTTAATATTAACTTTTAGGTAGTATGCAATTCAATCAAAGCTTCATATGGAAATAGCATGGAAAAATTTTGAAAATTTTAAAAATGTTTTTTAGATATAACTTAGCGACAAATGAATTAAGTGATCATTTGTGTCATCTTTCATTGAAAATTAGACGCTCTGCAAAACAGTTATTTCATAATTTGTTTTGTAGAGCGTCGAATTTTGAATAAAACTCATTCATACATATGTACACACACATACATATACACACTTTTGGCAGTAAAAATCTCAAATATTATATCAAATTTTTAAATTAATCTGAGGATAAATCTTTGACAACCAGCCAATTTTTTTCATTACTGACCTTTCACTTCCTTATCTTCAATTTTAACATCTCCTTCTTTGGAGCCATCAGTTTTGTCCAGCCTAGGTCTTTTCCTCTGCCCTTTGTATGTCCTGTTATCCCTCCTGCCGCCTTCTCCTTCATCTTCGCTATCAGAGTATTCATTGTCTGGAGCAATACGCTTATCTTTATCACTCTGTGGAAGCCTCTCATCCTTATCCACTTTTTCTTCATCATCCGATTCATCATTCACGGCATCTTCAGGTATTGCCTGGACTTGCACACCAGGAGCATGTGGAAGCATTCTTAGGTTTTCAAAGAGTCTATTCTTAATTTTTTCAAGATATTCATTTGTGTTTTGATTGGACATATTACTTGGACTTATGTGCAGTTTGAAATCTGGACCAAAGTATTCAAAGTAGTCGTTGTAAGGTAATTCATTTGCAATTTCACAACCCAAAGCTACTGATGTTTCGTATGTCCAGCATCTGGATACATTCCTAATAGTATAACCTCCACCTCCCACCATGAGGAACGGGAGGCCGTACTTTTTGACAAACTCCACACACTTTCCATGACCTTTGACTGTTAAATTGAAACAGCCCAAACGATCACCGGTTAAAGAATCTGCACCACATTGTAAAACAACTGCAGACGGTTGAAATGTTTCCATTACTTTTGAAATTATGGGTACAAAAATTGAGTCATAGGACTCATCATCCATACCATCTCTTAAAGGAATGTTAACTGCATAATATTTGCCTTTACCTGCACCAATATCTCTAAGATCTCCTGTTCCAGGGAAATATTCCCCGTATTTATGGAAACTTACAGTCATAACACGATCTGTAGTGTAGAATGCTTCCTCGACTCCATCACCGTGGTGAACATCAATATCAATATACAATACTCTTTGATGATATTTTAGTAATTCTAATATACCCAACACTATATCATTTACATAACAGAAACCAGAGGCTTCAGATTTCTTTGCATGATGCAAACCTCCGCCCCAGTTGATGCAAATTTCACTTGCTTGCTTATTTAACTTAACAGCTGCGGCAACAGACCCACCAGCTGATAATTGACAAAATTCATAGAGACCATCGAATACTGGACAATCCTCACCGACATTAACTGAAATATCATATCCAATTAGTATATACGACTTTAAGACTTTTATATATCTATTACATCAAACCAGCTTACATCTTTGCATCTGCTTGTTATATTCTGACATGTTATCAGGTCTGATCGACCTCAGAAACCTAATGTAATCATCTGAATGAAATTTGGTCATTTCATCGGCAGTAGCTTTATGAGGTCTCTATAGAAATAATAATTAAATAAACATACATTCCAAGAAGACATGATTTTATCATATATGTGCTTACATAAATCTCCATTTTTCTGTATAAGCCATAATTTAATAATAAATTGTGTGTCATGCGTATACGATGAGGTTTCATGGGATGGCCTTGCCCATAATAGTAATTTCCAATGTCGCCTAGTAAAAATACAAATAAATTAAACATGATATAAAAAAACGGTTAAGAGGGTATTCTAGTGTGGAAATTCAAAAAATTCGTTCTTTTCTTTCGTTTCGTATTTTTAAAGTTTAACTATTTAAAAATAGTGTGTACGAGAGGATTTTTTAAAATTTAACCCTTTCCACTCAGATGCCGCCGCTCCGGCGACAAAATACATATAAAACTCGCATTTCGCGAGTGGAAAGGGTTAATGCAAAACTTTAAAAACGTTTTCTTCTCAAAAATGTTTTTTTTTTTTCAAAACGACGTCCACGATTTTTCCAGTTTTACTGGACCAAATTTCGATTTTTACTACTTTTAAAAAACTTGATGAACTCAAAAAAAATGGGAAGAAATTGGCCCTTTTTTTTAAGTCACTATTTTGTCAAAAATTTATTTTTTAACTTAATTCTAGTGTAAATCATATCTAAATCATTCTCAATTAATAATCTTTTTTTTCATATCAAAGGAAGGAAGGCAATCATGGGCAATTATTAACTTTTATTTTTTTTTTTTGTACTCTTGTAACATTGATGAAGAAATTATAAAAAAGATGATTGTAAAAAAAAATTGATAGCCCTTTTGTCAGATAATTCAAAAATGACATAATACCCCTTAAGAGTTTACGTTTTACTACTAATACTTGTATAGAACATCATAACAATTGATATTGATGTTCATTTGTATGAAAGGTTATATAATTTTTTACTTATTTATTATTTAATTTTTTACCCATAAAATATATTTATGACATGCAATATTAATGATGAATAAAATTGGAAACTTCAATAAATAATATCATATTTATTGAAGTTTTCAATAACTAACCATCATATTTCTTTTTTAAGAACGATTTATATTTTTTAAGAACTTTTCCTATTAAGAAATACATATTTGTAGTCGTTGTTGAAGTGTTGTAATCAACCGAATTCTAATTTAAAAATACATGGCATAATTATTTTATAAAACATAACTAATTTTACAAAATCTCATTTCCATGATTTTTATTTGATAATTTGATTTTTAGTGTCTATTCAGTAGGATTGTTATATCAATTTTATGCCAATAAATTCAGATGATAACTTCATTTTTGGGTAAGTAATTTCTTATTGTGTATCGAAAAAACACAATTTTCTTCATGGATTACTAATATTTATTATTTTTCTATACTAATATTATAAAAGCTTTCCTTTGATTAATAAAAGTGGTAATAAATACTATATTCAAAAGACAGACATATATAAACTTGTATTAATTCAGGTTTTGCTTAAACACAATTAAATCATATTTAACAAATTTGCAAGATCCAATAACTAACGAGTCATGTCTTTCAAAAATAAAAACATTATCATTAATAAACAGCCATCAAAACAGATAGATTATAATTTATTACTAATAAAACATATTTAAAGTCATTGTTGAAGTCTTGCCATTAGACAAATTCTATTCTTAAAATAATGTAGGAAATTATCATATTATAAAAATGAACTGTTCTTTCGCAACAAAGTCATAAATATAACTTTTATTTGATAATTTGATTTTTATTGTCTATTCAGTAGTTTTATACTGCTTTTTTGCTAATAAATTCAGATAAAAGCTTTATTTTTGGGTAACAAATTTCTTATTGTCTATCAAAAGGACAATTTTCTTCATAAATTTATAATTACTAAAATGCCTTGATGCATATATTTTTTAATTGTAACTTTCTTTTTTTCCAAGAGCGACTTATAAAAACGTTATCAATGGCTTAATAAATAACCATCAAAACAGATGGTTTGTTATTTATTATTAATAAAACATAAATGACATTATTAATAAAACATAAATGACATTATTAATAAAACATATTTGTACTCAAAGTCTTAGCATTAAACAAATTCTGTTCTTAAAATGTAGTGCATTATCATTTTATAAAAATGAACTGATCTTTTGCAAAAAAATCATATTTTTATAACTTTTGTTCGATAATTTGATATTTAGCAGTTATTCAATAGGATTTTTAAAATAGGTTTATCTTTATAAATATTGTTTAATCATCTTATTCCTAAATCTAATTCTCTGTTAAATTTTAGTTATGTTCTCTAACTTTAACCCAATTAACAAAAATATTGATATTCATAACAGTACACTAAATCGACTAAATCAAATAATCTTCATCTACTCAATTTAATCTTTATATTTCTTGTATTTTTAAATATTTTTTGTACTCTCTTTCTATGTATTATAATTGTATTTTTAAGTCATCTTAGAACTTTTCTGTGGGCTAAAGTAAATAAATAAATACTGAAAAGAATAAGAAATTGCTCATTTTGTATTTTTTTAAGAGAGAAGATTCTTCTTCATGCTTTTATGCATTTTCTAATTGTTACTATTTTTTTACTAATATATCCTTTGATTAGTGAAAGTGGTGATGGATACTGTACAGACAGATATAAAATTAAATTTGTATTAATTTAAGTTTTGATTACAATTTTTCATTGTTTTTTGTAACAAAAATGCTTCGCCAAACTCTGGCGAGAGATTTTGAAAATAAGAATAAACGCGCGACCAATCACAAAGCGGTACTACAGACGCCCGATTAGTGACATAGGATTTCTCAAAATATATACGAAAAATTTTTTTTTTAAAAAATATCTATTAACACAAGACATTAACTTCAAAATCATCTTGAATTCATTACCGAAATACACCAAATCGACTTAATACACCAATTTATTTTCGTCAACCTGAGGTTAACATTCGAGCGTTGTATATAAAAACTAACAATACACATTTGTACTAAAACTATAAACATTATGGAAAATTTTACTCACTATCATAATAATAACACACTCGCTTCTTGCTATGAGCCTGAATCGACATTTTCCACTATTATTTTTGAATTAACTATTCGAGGAGAACTCAAACAAATTTCTCGGCTTGATAACTAATTTGCAAATGGCGGAATTTTAATGATGACAATGTTGCCACCCTGTTGACAGTGCAAATATCAGGCTGCCTATTTTAATTTACTTTAGACAGCTAAAACAAAAATGTTTACTTGATTAATTGATAAATCATTAAGCAATTATATATTTAGGATAGCAGATAAAATACACTTACGCAAAACTGTTTTGATTTGTTTGTTAGTAAATATACTTTATTTAATTGTGATCGTCTAATATTTGTTGCCGGCCGTTCATTGGTGTATGTGCCGATACAGATGACGTGTGACATTTAAATACCTGGTTAGTGTGTTGTTTTTTAAAATAATACTTATATTCACATTAAATACCACAGCAAACCTTATTTTTAACAAACTAAATATAACTATTATATTTTTAGATAATATATTTATACTTATATATCCAATATATAACATAATTTTTATACATATTGTGTGTATACATTTGACAAACAAAAATAATGGGAAGTAAACCGAAAACCGATTCAAAGGACAAAGCTACTCCTGTAGAAGTGAGTTTTGATATATTTGTGTAATATAATAAATATGTGTTTTAATTATTCATGAACATATTTTATAGCCTGTCAAAATAAACAAATGGGATGGTTCCGCAGTGAAAAATGCAATTGATGATGCAGTAAAAGAGGTGAATATAAGCAATTATTTCAATAACAGGTAACACCCGCATAACACGGTACTTCTTTTAAACCCGGATTTGCCCTAACACAGTTTAAGAATTGATACCATCCCTCTTATAACACGGTACTTTTAAAGCATGGGTTTAGGTAATAAATTACCTACAAAAATCAAACTTTATTTAATCTAAAATTAGTAAATTCACAGTACAATAGCTCAATAATAATAACAATCAATAAATTGATACTTATTGTTCCAGCGCATTCATTGTATAGAAATAAAATTCTAGGTTTATCCGAACAATTAAACAATTAGTCTTAAACAAATTTCCTTTAAATAAAATGAGCATAAAATTTTATAAAGATAACTTTGCATGAGGTAAATATATACATATCTTCTTGCTAATATATAAATATCTGAGCAAATAATCGCAAATATATTGTTTTTGCAAAAATAATACACAGATCTGGAGGTACAGAAAACTGCACAGATGATGAGGATACCTTGCAAAAGAAGGATTGTGTTGGATAGCTCTTACACATTAATTATGACATAAACAATCATATAATTCATGTAGTTTATATTACTCCTTAAAAAAATTAATAAGTATATCAATATTTATTATGAAATCATGGCTTGTAGCATGATTTTCTGAATTCTTGGAACGTAACCACTCTTTTTGTACTAGTTCTTTGGCCTGTATAACATGGATTTGCATAAGACACTACCTTTTTGAAACGGAACTACTGTGTTATGCGGGGGTGATCTGTATACTAGAAATACTGATGCACAATAATGTTCAGCAAAATATAATAACTCTTTTAAATACTTTATTTTATGGTCAGCTTGATAATCTTGTAATATGATTTTCAACGTTATGGTTATTTATTACATGTTCTTACTTTACTTTATCCTTTATCAGGTTATAACAGGCCGACTAAAATGTGAAGAAAACTTTAATTTAATGGACGGCAGATTGTTAATTTGTGGAATAGCAGTTGGTGTAGCTGGATTTGCTTTACTTTGGGATGGTATTTATCCATTTCCCATGTCAAGGTATATTTATTTTGAACAAATTTGAAAAGTTGCAACATTCTTTTGAATTATGAGTTCTCATAAAGCGGGAATTGCTTTACTTTGGCATTATATTTATCCATTTCCCATGTCAAGGTATATTTATTTTGAACAAATTTGAATAGTTGCAATTTTTATTTGAATTAGAAGTCCTTCACTACATGCAGTTGCTGTAGCGGCAATTGCTTTACTTTGAGATTACATTTTTCTATTTTCCATGTCCAGGTATATTTGTTTTGAATGATTGGAACTGCAAATGTTTGAATTAAGAGAGCCTTTCATTATATGCAGTTTCTGTAGTGGGATTCGGTTTGCTCTAGGATTATATTTATATTTGCTATGTCAAGGTATATTTTTTTTTAACAAATTTCATTGGAACTGAAAATTTTGTTTGAATCAAGAGTCATTCCTTTCGGAATTCATCTGAATTTAAATTTTTTTAATTAATTTCCATTTATTCACGTGTTGAGATACATTTTTTTCAAAGTTTTCAAGAAATATATTTGTTACGGTAGATAAATTATTAAGGGGTATTCTATTAAATTTTAGGTCATTTTTAAAACATTGTAAGAAAAATGGCAATACATTTTTTTACTATCAATTTTTCTTATAATTTATTTATCAATGTTACAAAAATACATGAGAAAAGTTAATCATTTTAAAAATAAGCAGTAGTGGAAGTAGGGGGTCTCAGAAAATTGCAACTCTCTTAACTCTCTGAAATGAAAAAAAAAAGATTATTAATCTAGAATGATGTTGCAATGGCATATACTAGGATCAAGTCAATTTTTTTTATAATAAATGCTATCTTTTATTTATTTTTTTAATTATAGGCCAGTGCTGATTAGTTGCGTTATGTCATATTTTGTGCTCATGGGGGTTCTTACACTTTACACTACAGTGAAAGAAAAAGGAATATTTGTGGTAGCGGCCAACAAAGATACTGACAAATATATAGAAGCGAGTTCAAATCTTAAAAAGTAAGTTTTTTTTACATGTATTTATATTACTCCTAACATAACTCCTTAAACTTTTAAAAAAGTCCATGAAACATTTACTTGCAAAACTTTTATTTTGCATTTTTTAAGTATCATTAAGTTCTATTAACATGTATTGGATTTTAACTATGATTTATTCTTTTCAAAAATATCAAGTTGTACCTCATCAGCTAAACATACAATTATTTTTCATATCTCGTAATTGTTTTCAGATATGATGACAAATACACATTATCATTATTGATTTGTGACATAGCTCGCACTAAAAAACGTGAAGTCTCTGTTACTAAGTCTGTTGCGTCTTTTATTGATGTAAATGGTGTTGTATTACCTGATTTGGTCGAGAATGAAGTTATGAAACTATATAATTCTAGTGGAAATAAGAAAGATAATTAATTTATTGTTGTAAATAGCATATATATAAAAATGATCTTTTATAAATCGATGAAATAATTTTACTTTTTTGTCAGTAATATAACTAAATGCACCTAATTTCATATTTTATCTAATTTTTTGGTTTATTTTATTTTTTTTAATTCAAATCAAATTTAATTATATAAAGACAATTTTATTGTAATGAATTTGTCGTTTAATAATGATTTTTAGATGATGAATTAGACATACTTTCACAATGTTTGTAATAAAAGGTTTTTATTGATTTTAGTTTCAGAATTATTCAAAAACGTTTTAATAAACATTATACACTAATGGAAAAAAAACTTGTTCAGGATAAATAATAATTTTTGCTATTATTCAAGGAGAATATTTTTAAATTGCATTTTCCTATATATTTTATAAATAGGTATACAACTTAATGAATCTGCATTAGACAGTTTATCAATCTGCTGTATGCAAACAAAAATCAAATTCATAATAGTTGAATTTGTATAAAAACTTGTACAAAAAATACTAGATCTATGGAATCAATTGAATGAATTATTTTACAAAATCAAGTACGGTTTTTGCATTCATAACAAAAATAACCACAAGAAGTGCTCTGCAATTGTGTGTACTATAAGATTTTTTTTTTAAAAAGTGAGAAAAGCATAAAAGTTGCAGGCAGTTGATATATGCAGTGTTATCAAGTAAGTGGTATTGATACTCTTTATGAACTCTCTTAGGCATTTATTTGCTAAATTTGCAACTTTTACAGTAATTGAAATATTTTTTATATTGCACATAAAATCTTGTATTTTTACCTTTTAACTTCCCGAAGGAGAAATTTATGTTTTCATCAAAAAATCCGAATCGCTAATTTTATGTTTTCTCAAGCCATTCTGAATCGAGTGAGACCAAATTTGGAAAAAGTATGTGTGTGTGAACAGATATTTTGTCTTAAATCGACGTTTTCTCAAAAACTGCTTGACCGTTTTCAAAAATTTTAAAGCCATTCGATGTATCTTGATGGAGGACTAGCGTTTTTTAGTTTTGTGCGATCATCGGTCGAGCCATTTCTTAGTAAATCTTAGATTTTGAAAACTCAAAAAACTGTTCGAAAGATATTGGTTGGGAATCGTGCTGATTAGTTTTTGGTAGAGATGGACCGGCCGTTTTCTTGTAATAAATTTAGTAAAAACTAAAAAAAAATCATAAAAAACGTCGAAAAAAATTTTATGATTTTTTTTAATGGTAAATACCATAGTCTTATAGATCATACTCGGCCTACGACAAGTCATTTAATTTTGAACATTCGTCAAAGTTTGCAAATATTAGTATCTTTTTCGTCGATGTTTGCTCGAAAACGCCTGAACCGATTTAAGAAATTTAAAAGCCATTTGATGTATCTCAATGTGGACTATCGTTTACCAGTTTTGTGCGACGATCTACCGAGCCGTTTCTTTGTAATTTGGAAGAAAGTGTTAAACTTTACGTCCACATTTAAGCTCATACTACCGAATCGATTTTAAAAAATCAAAAACTGTTCGAAAGATATTAGTTGCGAATGATACTGATTAGTTTTAGATGAAAATCTACCGAGCCATTTTCTTGTAAATAACTGTTGAAAAAAAATTAAGCCGATTTTTTTTGACGATATATATCATGGTCTTACGGAACTTACTCAAATATTATGGTGTTACGACAAGTATTTTAATTTTAAAAATTAAAAATGAGTAGTTTTTTTTTGACGTTTGTTAAAATTAAAATTAGATTAAATTTACTTGGTATAACGATAGAGTACTTGGCCTTAATGAACCTTCTAAACCATTGAAGTCCTACGGAAATTGGTTCAATTATAAAAATTACTGATTTGTGAAAATTTCCTTTCAGAAAATACTCCGAGTTAACGTGTTCGTTCGTTTCCAATTTATTTTTTATTGATTAAGTCGATTATTTACACATATCGGGAAATTCTTGCAACTTGCCTCAATGCAAAATACCAATACCAACTAGTTTATTTATTTATTTAATCTATGTTATCTAGTGAATTTCATTAGAATTATTTTTTTAATCTCCTTTTTGAAAATTTGATAATATACTCGATCATTTTTCTAATTTTAAAAAATCCGCCAGAAGAGCTACCAACATAATAAATGAAAACGAATTGACGTTTATATAAAAAAATGCACAGATCAAATAAATATCACTTGCTCAAAGTTTTCTATTCAAGCTCAGCTCAGCTGTTTGATACATATTTTTTATGTACTCATAAATATATTACATTCGTTATTAGAAAGTAATTGTATATTCGTATATATGTTTACTTATCTATGTATAATATAATATTATGTACTTATTTGCCATCATATACTCGAATATTATTTTGCAATCATCCAAATTGAATCGAGTTTTACTCTCCTTAACGTTACCTTATATTCATTATGAAAGATAATGCAATCAAACATTGAACTAATTAATCTATATGCATTTAAGACTTTATAAATTGTATGAATTTAAAAGTTATAATTTTAAATTCAAATTTGAATTCCAAAAGTTGACAGTGATTTCGTATCTGTATGAATCATCTCTTCGCACATGAAATGTTATCGCAAATTGTTGTTACGGCGAATTGTTGACAATTTATGTTATGAAAATAAGATTTTTTACACAAACAACTTCCGAATGAGTTTTAAAGGAATGTCATTATTTAGAAGATGTGAAACTCATTTATATTAGTGAATTAAGATAGTATTTTATTCCTTCTCAATATTATTAGACTTTTTATTACATTGTTTTAGAGGTTATATTTCAGTTATAAAAATGAATGATGAGCATTTGGAAAGAAATAAGGTGAAGTTAAGAAAAACTGCCTTAAAAAGAAGGCTGAACTTGCTTGAATTAAGAAGAAACAACAGATTGATAGATTTTCAAGAAAATGAACTGAACAAGAGAAAAATATCTATTAGAACAGCAAATGATGTTTCTAGTTATGTTTCATCTAAGTCAACCGATAAAAGTAAGCAATTAGATAATGGATTTCATGAAAATGGAGATCATAATTATGCACTTAACAACACTCATTGCAATACAAAGTTTGATGAAAACGAAATTGATCTACATACATCTGGCAAGTCTGAAAATTCTAATAGTTGTATTTCAAATAACAACGAAGAAGTCACTACTGCACCAAATATCTACAAGCAAGAAACAAATTTATTTTTCACATCGAGTGAGAATATTGATTTCACAAATGAATCCTTCGAAAATTTGAATAATATTTATAGAGATATTTGTGTTTTTAGTAAATTTATCCAATTGAAAATTCAACAGATTAATAGTAAACAAAGCACTATCAATAGTTTTGATGACATTGATCCAATAATTCATACACTTTTCAGGTTCTTGAAAAAATGTCAAATCAATTTTAAACACTTTAGCCGCCATTTGGTGAAAAATTATAAAGAACTTTATGAAAATTTCAATAAATCTATAGGCGACAAAATCTTGTTGGAATCAGATGATAGTTTAGAGGAAAGTTTGGAAAAAAGTAATAAGTCGACTTCTGAAACCTCTCATAAAAGTAATGATGAAGAACAAGAACAAAATACGAATCCGTTACTGGAGAATCAACAAACCGGTGCTACTTTTAGTGATGGTGATAAAAGTAAGATCATGTCACTAACTCCAATAGTTGCAATTGAAAAATTTGATGACTATCCATTGAATCTACCTAATTATGATGGCTTGGTACGTGAACTTAATGTATCTATCGAAAAGTGTGATGATAAATTTCCAGAATTATTTCAATCACCAGAAAAATGCCAAGTATATGCTGATGAAAACCGTGACAATGATGAAGACAATGCTAAAACAGATGAAACTAATACAGGAAAGCTAGAAAAAGATGCTTTGGATACAGAAATTTCTAGACTTACTAATTTAAATAATTTAAAACGAAGCCATGATTCAGATTCAAATAATGACCAAGTTAAAAAATTAAAGACTTGTGAGAAAAGTCAGGAATCTGTACACGATGAAGGACATAGCACTATGGATGAATCCGATCAATCAAATCATAGTATAGAAGTTGAGGAAAAGTCTGCATTTTCAGAAGAGCATATAAACGATCTGGCTGTAGATGAAATTTTAAATTTAACAGATTCCAACAGCGGAGATGAGCCAGTTACTTCAACTTCAACAATCGGACAAAAAAAGGTCAACAAAGCAGGGGATTTTATGATCGATGAAGAAAAATTGAAAGCAGATATGAAGAATGAATCAACAACAGAAGAAGAAACGAAAGAAGGTAATGTGTTTGAGCATGATAAGAAAATATGCAGAAGAAAATTTGTACCAAATTTGCACATGGAGTTAAGTACATCGAGCAATTTGGAAGATAGTTCTGAATGTGAGCTTATAAATAGTTCTCAAAAAATTTATGTTTCTGTCTCAAGTTCTGATAATGAAGATGTTGCAGACAAAGGCAGAAAAAACATTAGAGAGATAATTGATTCGAAATATTTAGAAATGGATACGCAAAGAGCCAACAAAGAGGAAAGAAAACGCTTAGAAAGAATTACTTTGAAAGACCAAACTCGCGGTTTGAATACAAATAATACCGAACAATTTATTCTGGATCGCCATCCTGAAACAAAAGAAGTTATTGTAGCTGTTCATCCCTTATTGAATAAGCATTTGAAGAACCATCAACGTGATGGTATAAAATTTATGTGGGATAGTTGTTATGAAACAGTAGATTTAATAAAAGATAAAAAAAACTTTGGTAATGGGTGCATATTAGCGCATTGCATGGGTTTAGGGAAAAGTTTGCAAGTTATTGCATTTGCTCATACATTAATGCGCCATAAATCCTGTCAAACTAGAACCGTATTAATCATTTGTCCTAAATCTGTTACACTTAATTGGAAAGATGAAATACAAAAATGGTTATCTCCATTTCCTGATAAAGAAAAAAAAACTTTTGATCTTACTAATATAAGCAGTCCAAATATGCGCTGTTTGAAACTAAGTAAATGGCAATCAGAAGGTGGTTTTATGATAATAAACTATGATATGTACAGAAATATGATGAATTTAATAAGTGATCCAAGCGCTCAAGATACTTACAAAATCGTATAAGTGTTTTAAGGAATCACTTCGAAACCCTGGACCAGATATTGTATTTCTGGACGAGGGTCATGTTTTAAAGAATGAAAAGACAAAACTTCGAATTCAACTTGAAGAAATAAGAACAAGGCGTAGAGTTATTCTTACAGGAACCCCGATGCAAAATAACTTAAGAGAGTACTACTGGATGGTGCATTTTGTTAAACCGAATCTTTTAGGATCATTCAAAGAGTTTACAAACAGATTTGCTAATCCTATTCGAAATGGTCAGCACAAAAATTCAAATTTCCATGATATAAACTTAATGAAAACGCGTTCTCATGTATTGCATAAACTTTTGAAAGGTACTGTGCAACGCAAAGAAGTTGGAATATTGAAAAAATATTTACCCAAAAAATTTGAATATGTTTTGTACTTGAAACCTAGCGAAATACAGGAAAAACTCTATAATAATTTCTTGATTTCGTTTGGTCAGAAAGCAGAAAGGTCTTCGGTTCTTGAAGCGGCTAAATTTTTTGCTGATTTCCAGGCATTGAAGCGCATTTGGACGCATCCATATGCTCTAGTTGATTTCTTGGAGAAAACCATTTTATTAGAACAGAAGCAAAAGTTTGAAATGCTAATGGATGTGGATGAAATTATTGATGATGATGACAGCGAAAAAATTCATAAAGTGATGAAAAAAATGAAAAAACCACTAATCCCAGCCGATTGGTGGAAAAAGTTCTACACACTGGATGTCTTAAACTCTATTTCAGCCAGTAGCAAGTTGTTAATTGTGTTTAATATAATTGAAGCATGTAAAGTAACTGGAGAGAAGGTTTTGATATTTAGTTCATCTCTGAATGTTCTAAACACTATAGAACATTTTCTAAAAATTATCTCAGATGTGACTTCAGCATCTGGAAACCAGTCTGAAGAACATCCAGCAATAGGAAAATTCAGAGGGATTTGGGAAACTGGAAAAGACTACTTTCGTTTTGATGGCAATCTGCCTCTAGATGATCGACTTAAATATTGCAATGTGTTTAATGATCCTGAAAATAAGAGGGCCAGATTGTTTTTGGTATCTACACGAGCAGGCGGCATCGGATTAAATATGATAGGAGCTAATAGAGTAATAATATTAGATGTTTCCTGGAATCCTGCAGTTGATACGCAAAGTATATTTAGAACATACAGGTATGCTTTTCTAATAACATATACTTAAAATAAAGCTAAATTGTATTAAATAACTAGTCTTTGCGGCAAATTGCTGGAACTTCACGAACCGCAATTTACAATTATTAACAGCATTAAAATATTGAATTTTTTGAAAATTCTGAATTTAAACTTCCCTCAGGTTAAGTTATAGTAATCGCAAAAAAATCGAAAATTAAAATTTGTATATATCTTCACATTTCAGAGGTTTCTGAACATTTTGGCATACCTTATAATTAGAAAAAATGGAGGTATGTGTGTGTGTGTGTACGTGTGCGGATACAAATTTTCGTCGACGATTTCGGGAACAAAGTTCAACGTATAAATTTTGTTTACATTTCTATAGGTTCCGTAACATCGTTTGTCCGATAGACTGCGATGCGACGCTTAGGCGCTTCGATATTTCGTTTCTATGCAGCTAAAGAAGCTGTGCGATTCTTTGAAAAAAGTTCAAAACGTAAAACAATCTTTTTTTCAGTTTTTTTTTTCAAAAATTAAGAGTTTCTCAAAAGTCTATTTTTTTAAAGTTCCACAAAAATTGAATCTTTTTTAAAAACTTCAATTTTTTGTACAGGATGTTCCAGCAATTTGCCTTAAAGCACGATGCCGTGCACCACTAGTTATTGTGTATTTTTACCACTTTTTGCTCCGTATGTTTGAAACTGCTGGATCTACCTTTGCCAAAATGATGTAATACATAAAATTGCAGTAAAATTACTTTTTTCGTTTTCTAATTTCAGACTGCAACAAACAAAAGTATGTTTTGTGTATCGTCTAATTGCTGCAGGATTTATGGAACAAAAGATTTATGAGAGATCTGTTACTAAGGAAGCCCTATCGTGCCGAGTTGTAGATGCTCAGCAAATTGGACGTCATTATACAACTGCCGATTTAGCTGAATTATACACTTCTTACAGGTAACAGTAGGATATAAACAATATTATTAACTTTTTGAAGGAGAGTTACTGGAGAAGAAAATTCGACTTGCGCTTATCAAGAAGGCAAAATGTTACTCACAATCAGTTTATATATTTATTTGAATAATTCTAAATATGTCTAGTTTTGGTTCTGTAAACGTAATGTAACATATATTCATGTTTTACAGTGAACTGCCAAGCATAACCTCTTATAAGAAGCCTGAGGACACTGTATTGCAAAACATTTTAGCCGGTCCGTCTTCTTCATTCATCCATAATTATCATGAACATGATTCATTATTAGCTAATATTGAGGAAGAAAGTTTGCCTCCAGAAGCATGTGAAACGGCATGGCGAGAGTTTCTTCAAGAAGAGAGAGAAAATCCTTATACAAATGTGGGTTCACATGTGACCAAAACATGTGATCCAAATATGAGGCCTGTGGATATTCGACAAATGGGATTTCCTGAATATGTAACCACAATGTCCGAAACTCAGATCATTCCAAAACATACTTATGCAAATGCTTATTTACAACGTGAAACAAATCCTGCAGTGGAGGTAAACAAATATGTGAATTAAATACATTTGACTTAAATAGTTGAATCTCGATTCTTATTGGTTAAGATGATTATTAATACAAGTAGTATTGAAAAGTTTATGCAACTAGTTTTTAGGCAAAATGCCACTTACATCTAGCTTCTGTGAAATGTTCAAAGTCGTTTTTTTTTTATAAACTACATTTTTATAATTTAAATCTTATTTCCTAAACAGACAATATCAGATGAGCGAAATACAAATCATACCTTGAACTTCAGTCGAATAAGTAGTAGTGATGATCCTGTAATAGCCGAAGCCAACAATGATGATGATATTTTACAAATATCAGATGATGACAGTCAAAAAACAATAAAATTTGGTGCCAGCAATTTTAATATGGACCGGAATGAACAAACATACGCTAATATTGATTTAACATTTGAAGATGATGATTGTTTCATTGTTCCGGAAACATAACATTTAAAAATATAATTTTAACTTTGACAAAGAGGTAAATGTGATATCCTAGTGCTAACCTATAGAAGATATATAAATAATTCATCAAATTACTAACAATGAATTAAAACTGTGATCAATTTATATAATAGTTCATAACTACTTTCTATAATTATTAAATAATAAAGTGTTTGTTCAAACAAATAAAATGCTTTTGTTTGCATTTACTAATTCAAATCAGAAATAAAAAAAAATGTTGGTGATGCATATTTTAAACAATATCTATAATAATCAAAAAATTGCGAAATTCAAAAAATTAAATTTCGCGGTTTTTATTCCAACATGAAGTTTGCATTATTTATGTTAGTATCGAACTGTCAAAAAATGTTCTGCAAATCCATTTGCAAAAATTTGTTTATTAATTAAATGCAAACAAAATTGTTTACAAACATAAGTTAAAAATCAACTTAGGAAAGAGAACAATGGATTTTGCTACAAGTAAACAAATTGTAGATGCTTTTCATGAAAAATTTGTAGGCAAAAAGTTTTATGGACAATATGCGGAACGTCGATATGTTAGCAAAATAAATTGCTATCGGGATTTAATTTTAATTGATAAAAATGAAGCACATATTCAGAAACTTATTGATGATGTATTAACATATTATTCGAGTCTAAATTCAACAGGTGAACTTTTTTTCTTTAATTATTTTGTACCTATTACTAACATATCACTAAGAGAATAAATTAAACTACAATATAAATATATATATATATATATATATATATATATATATATATAATAAAAATATCTATTACAAATAAAGTTTTCAATAATAATATATGATCTTTAATTTTCCTATTAGGAATTTGGTTTGGAATGACATGTCCTACCAGCCAAGAAGCACCATTCGGTTATTGCTTTTGGGTGCAGTTGCCAAATGCTATATTTGGAAATTATTTATTCCAAATTGAATCTATAGAAGTTTTAGGAAAAGAAATTGTATTGCAGATCAAACAATTAAAAAATAATGTAACAAGACCAACCAATATACCAAAACAAACTATTAATACTGTAACAAATTGGAATGAATATTTTAATATGTTGAAAGAATCATTTTCTGAGAATTTACTATATTTTTTAACAAACGTGCTCACTTTAAAAAATATTTTCCAAGTAAGTAGTTATCCAAAAAATATATATATTTAATTTTGATGAAATTACCTGATGTATCAAAATGTTTAATTAGTTTTGTTTTAGTTTAATTATATTTTGTTTATTCCAGGCATGTAAATATCTCATCATTCTTTCATTATATTTAGTTTTGGGAGGTTTCGAATTAATGAAATTTTTAGGAGACTTTTCAATTAAGATGTTACAAGAACTTAGAAAACTTTTACAAGCCTCAACTCCTATATGTCTAGCGCTTATAGAGTCATTAACAAAAATTGTTGGAGGACTTTACATTTTAATATCGATGATGTTTCAAGGAAATCGACCACGTCAAAATGGGCCACCAAGACAAGTTCAATATCCAAATTATAGATAGAAACAAAACTATTGACAACCATTTTAAAATATATTTTGTTAAAATTACTTTGGAAAAGTTATCACAAATAGATTTATATTTTATATAATATGATTAATAAGATATATATAAAATTAAGTTGTTTTATTTTAAATATATATATATATATATATATATATATATCGTATATATATATATATATATATATATATATATATATATATATATATACATATTACTTATTACATTGTAAGTCGGAAGAATATAATAATTTGAAGAATTTTGTCAACTTTGACAAGTAACATTAAGATTAATGATGTTTTGAGTGTATTTTATCTGTGAGCTAAATTTGCATAATTTGCTTTGCATTGCTTCATGTATTGTTTTTAAAACCAAAAATTATAAACGTGACTGGATTGCAATGCATATTAACTTTATGGCTGAATAAAAATATCAAAATTGGATTATATAAAACTGCAGAGACCATATGGCAATGTGATTAAACCTTTATAAGACCATAACATTTTTCAAAATCATACATAATTTGTGATAGTTATTTTATTTAATAAGCTGCAAGTTTGAGTTATTAAAGTGTTGTAATAATAGGGTCTAAACCAAAAACAAAACTAAATATATTGTAAATTCAACAGTGATTTTTCTCACAAGTAAGACATAATGCAAGTATAATAAATACCGACTAAATCTAAACTGTTATATTTCAAAAGCACAAAGTGAATAATTACACAAATGTTTTCAAATTTTCCGCCACTTCTTGTAGGTTGGTAGCAATGTATTTTTATTATTCGATAACACTGTGCTTTTGCAAATGGCGAGCATTCGTGCTGATTAGATATTATTGTGTGTGAATCAAAAAGTTTGATTTTGTTGTATGTATCGTGAATAATAATATTAAAACCCTTATTTAAGCATTGTTGTGGCTGAATGAAGATATAATTGTTTTAAATTATATTATTTGTCAGATATTTGGAGTGATATATACCGATCTTGAAAGTACTGAGTGTGTTTAGTAGATCGATACACGTATGTATTTACACATTTATATTGTAAACATTATTTTATTGTTGGTTTTATTATTATTAATAAAAGCATTCATAGTTTTATATAATTAATATATCTCATTTATATCTAACATATATATTTTAATTAACTTCAAAACAAACATTGTATGTAGTGGCCATCTTTTTTTTTTACTTTAATTACATGTAAGCACTTGTTTGTCCCTTCAAGTTAACTGAAATATATTGTTTTATTTCAATAGCATGTCAACAGAATATGTGCAAGTTGCTGAAGAAGAATGCGAGGAACCAATAGAATTACCTTTGGAGGACGATGGTACTCTACTGTTATCTACTTTAACAGGACAGTTTCCTGGAGCCTCAGGTTTGAAGTATCGCAATCCTGGTTCTAAATCTATGCGTGGAGTCAGGCTCGCTGATGGAAGGATGCATCCACCAACATTACAAGGATGGAAAGATGAGATATTTTTCTGTGTTTTTCCAAAAGGTAGTAATATAAGTTTATGCTGATGTTATTTTTGCGGTTTGCTAAAACATGAATTTTTATCTATTTAATTTGAATATTGTGTTCATTTTCTCATTCATTTTATTTTTTTCAGATTTTGATCCTTCTGTTATAAGCGCAAATTCTATACCTGTCATCATAGACAAAATCCTATCCTATACTCATCCTAGTGGTAATAATTATTATATCCTATCCCTGAAATAAAAACACTTGTATACACTTCACTAAAAATATTTAAATGATTAATTTAAAGTATTTGTGAATTATTAGGAGGTAATGTGATTTATTGCCTAATATTTTCAATTGTATTGAATCTTCATGATCATCTAAGGGAATTTTATGTTTTATAATCCTAGTTGTGTTTATTTTTATTTTATTAAAGCATGTATGATTCTCAGTAAAGATTTACTATGAATGAATATCAGTTTTTAATAATTATTATTTAATTTTACATTTGAACAACAATCGGCACTTAATACTTCAAAATCTGCTTTTGATAACAACTCATACATCAAATTATCTATATTTGAATTGTATCTATAATTCTTTAATAATGTAGTTCTTATTTCCAGAAAACAAGCGTAAATCTGATGACACTTTAGAAAATTCTACAGCAAAAACAAAACGTATGGAAACAAGATTACGTTGCACTGACTTAATTGTTTTGGGTCTCCCATGGAAAACTACTGAACAAGATTTAAGAGAGTATTTTGAAACTTTTGGAGAAGTATTGATGGCTCAAGTTAAGAAAGATACTAAGACGGGACAATCAAAAGGATTTGGATTCGTAAGAGTTGGTTCTTATGAAGCTCAAATGAAAGTTTTATCACAGAGACACATGATTGATGGCAGATGGTGTGATGTGAGGGTTCCTAATTCCAAGGTAATAAATTAAAAATTAATTATACTTGATATCAACATATTCTGATGAATTTAATTATTTAATGATCTTTACTAGGAGGGTATGGTTCAACAAATGCCTTGTAAAGTATTTGTGGGAAGGTGCACAGAAGATTTAAGCGCAGAAGATCTTCGTGAATATTTCTCGAAGTTTGGTGAAGTAACTGATGTATTTATTCCTCGTCCGTTCAGGGCATTCAGTTTTGTTACATTCCTGGACCCAGAAGTTGCTCAAAGTTTGTGTGGGGAGGACCATATTGTTAAGGGTAAAATTATTTTATTACCAAAGTTAAATTCAATAAATTTAGTAAAATTGTTTTTAATGCAAATATTTATTTAAAAAGTCATAAATTCCTAATTTTTAACCATTAATTATATTAAAGCAATATGAAACAATCTCAAATTTTTATTTTGGACAATTACATATAATAAAATAATATCATTTCTTGTAATTACATGTTATATTTTTATTTTACTTGCACATTCTTCATTTTGTATTAATGAAATAAGTTTTATCACATTCTTATTTTTACTATAATGTTTAATTTTATTTTATCAGGTGTTTCTGTGCATGTGTCGAATGCGGCTCCAAAATCCGACCAAAATAGAAATCAAAATAATTCCAGAAGTAGTAAGTATAGCAATTATTAATTTTTTATAAACTAACTTTAAATTTACAAATGTACACAGTGTAATGCTTGATATATTTAGTATTTAATTTTAAATGAAACTAGAAAAAAAATAGAACAATAATTGATTTATAGTAATAATGGAATATTTTATTATAAATAAATGAATAATATTAAGTAAATAAATAGTTTATACATAACTAAATAACTGGAACTTATTGATAAAATAAATATTTTATTACTGGTAAAATATTTTATTATATTTGAATATAAATAATTATTTTACAGAATTTTAAAATTTCATGAATAAATATAATTTACTACCAGAAATTTATACTATTTATTTTATTAATGAAATATTTTTATTTATAAATGAATGATTTATATTCATTTCATTGTGTTTTATATCAGATATGAACATGAACCAGTATAGTGGAGGACCTAATAACCGAGGAGGCTACATGAGTAATGGAATGGGACAACCGGCCAATGTTTGGGCTAATAACGGAGGAGGTGATCAGTTTTCTTTTTTTGATTCTTAAAACTTTGTGATAATACTTAGATTTATCATAGTTTTATTTTAAATTATGACATTCGTAACCGTTATTAATAGAAAATATCTACAAATTTTTTATGTATGGATAAGACTTTTAAAAAAATTGAAAATGACAAATGTATTAAATGTAAAGAGCAAAACGATAGACGTCAACAGTTTACTTGGTTTGATCTCTCTGAATAATTTCATTAAACAAAAAAATTAAGATTATTTACATTTGTATTAAATTTGCCTGGATTAGGAAATACTTGGTCCTTTGCCTAATTCTTCTTAAAACTGAATGTGATTTTAATAAGTGTGTGTGGATAAACTTTATTTACTCTCGTCTTTCGGTTTTTATTATAATTTACATTATACAATACGCAGTTATATATTTTTGTTTACTATAAGTATCCATCTGTATCTAACAACATTGTTTTTTTTTTAATAATAATATGATTATTATAAAAATTTGAAAATATATTGTTTTTATTTATTTGAACCCTTTGCTGTATAACTCGTACTTATAATGTAAATTGAGCATGAAGAACAAATTGTTTTGAATCCTGTCAACTAGTTTTCTATTTGCATACAAAATATTCACTATCAACAAAATTAAACAGTAAACAGTTTTTTATAAAAATTTGAAACTGATTTTTGAAGTTAGTTTTTGAAAAAATCTTAAAAATACAGATATTAAACTGATTTATTAATGCAAAAAGGTGGTTTTGCATTGTTCTAACTGTAATTGCTGTGATTTTTTATTACTAAACTATATTTAATCATATTTTTCATAATTGTATTTTAAAAATCTTGAATGGCTCCTAAGATTTCATAATTTTAATATTAAAATATCAACATAATTGTCTTACTTACATTTTATGCTTTTTGAAAAGTACAAATACAATTTTAATCCTTTTTAAAAATTATTTTTATTAAATTCTAAAGTTATATTGAATTAATCAAATATGAGTTACATTTTATTTATTCTGAACTATTACAATATTTAGAAATTAATTATTTTGTTGGAATAAATATGAGTGATAAAAAAGATATATATTTTTAATGTTTTTGTCTTCAGGATCTCATCAAGGACGTGGCAATATAGATATGCCGAATTTGCAGACTCTTGGAATAAATCCACAAGGACAAAACAATGGTGGAGGTGGCGGTGGACAAAATCTTGGAAATATGGGTAAGTAGCATGAAATTTTGCTTTATAAATTACATAACACTAATATTTTTAAATTACAATAATTACAAGATCTGTTTTTAACGGATGAACATGTGTAGATCTATTATTTGCATTTATTTTTGAATTATTTAATTAGTGTGCTTTATTAATAATTTTAGAACAATGCAAAATAGTTTGCAATCAATTTGGGAATATTTTATATAGATTTATAACCATTTATTTATTATTATTTCAATATTCTGATTTTTTTTTGTTGAACTTTGCTTCGCTCAATTTTAATTTTTGATCTTAGCTTGGCATATTTGTAAGTGCATTATAATTTATCCATAGACATTTTACTACATGGACTGCTAGTCCTCATATGTTTTGCATTGTATATAGTGCTCAAACATAGAAGGGTATGTGACGTCACATGTCTGAGCGAACATTGCCGACGACAATTGCGTACTCTCACGATTGATCAAATGTCATATGTCATATGTTACGTGCCTAACATAGGCCTTATAATATATAAACCGATTTAATAGGTGGATTCGATTTTATGTACATTGATAATATTATTAATAACATTTCTTACAAAATTATCAGCCATCACAATTGCCATTATATTATTAAAATAAAACATATGACATATGATTTAATCAATTGGGATAGTCCGCGATTGTCGTCGGCTATGTTCGCTCAGACAGATGTTACATACCCTTCTATGTCTGAGCACTTATTTTGCGCTTGACTAGCACTCAATGTAATATAAGGCCTATGAATTTATCACATAATTTAATGTACAATAGTTGCCCTTTTTTACAAATACACATACATAACAAATATATTATTATATTATTTTTAATTATTTTGATGCATGAGCACATGAGCTAATTTACAATATTATACTTTTAATTCTTGTCTTTACTGTCTACATTCAATAAAAGTAATTTTAGTTACATAAAGCTTCTTATTCTAGCTTTTTTTTTGTTAACACTTTGCTCTATTAACTTTTTGCTTTATCTTGACATATGTCCGATCGTATTATACTTTATCAGATTATAAACAACACAATTTAGTGTACAATAGTTGCCCCTGTTTACGATTACAGGTATGGCAGCCCTGAGTGCGCTCCCTATGAATCCCGCTCTGGTCGCAGCCGCTCTCAACCAAGCCGGATGGGGCCTTATTGGCAACCTTCAGCAGCAGCAGGGTACGACAGGTGGACCTCAGCAGGGGGGAACTACGGGTACTACTACATCTTATCAATTTTTTTTTCAATAATAAAAATACTCACATTGCATTTTTATTAAACCTATTTGTGTTACAATTTCTACTTACAATATAAAATTTAATTTGTATATATTTTTTAGGCATTGTTTATTTTTGTGTAATAATTAGATTTGTTCTTGTCTATTAGCTACAGGAGCGGATCAGGGCTTCGCGGGCCCGAGCGGCGCGGGACCAGTGAGTACACATGGAACGCAGGGCCACCATCCGCATCAACACCAGGGTCAACAGCAAACTCCGGGTGGCAATTTTCTGAATTGGATGTCCCAACAGTCGGGTGGTAACCAACAGGTAGTAATCTATAAATAAATATGAAAAATATAAATAAATATCATGGTCTTATAGAACTTACTGAAATATTACGGCCTTACAAGTAGTTTAATTTTAAAAATTCATCAAAGTTTGAGAAAATGAATAGTTTTGATAGTAGTTTAATTTTAAAAATTCATCAAAGTTTGAGAAAATGAATAGTTTTGATATGATTTACTTGGTATAACAATAGAGTACTGGGTCGTAAATAATAATAGAAATTTTTGCCCGAATATTCTGTAATTTATCCGCAAATTTAGTGATATTTAGAGCAGTATTTGACTGAATTTATTTATTATATGAATTATTTGACTGAATTTATTTATTATTGTTCAATTTCATATATAGTAAACAAAATAATTTTAGTTTTGTAGAACTAAAAAATAATAGTTTATCTTGATTATATAACTTTGAAAATAATTATTCGTTATTCATGCATTATTTCCACATATAAGAATGAAAATATTTTTATGATAGTGAGAGGAAAGTTTTCAAATAAATAAAAATAATACATTTTTAAATAAAAAATATCATTAAATTAAAAAAAAAAAATTAGATACATGTTGATACATACTTGTTAATATCAATTTTAGTTTCAAAAACAATTAAGCTAAACTCGAGTATTGTCTGTTCAGAGCAATTTTGATTAATTAATTTTAAACATTCTAATTGTTTTTTTTTTGTTTGATTTCAAAAAATTGATGTCTATTGAATTGCTACTTAGACGTGTCCTTTTTTTACTCTCAAAATTTCCTGAAATAGAAAATACTCTCATACTTGCAACCAAATTATGCTTATTCTTGCAACCAAATTATTATAATTCTAAGTTTTTTGTTCTTTAATTTTGTGGCTTCTGGGGTTTAAAACTCTTTTTGTTTTAAGTTTGATCAGAGGATGTTACTTCTTCAAGAAGAAGTCACACTGATTAAAAATTAATTTAAAAATCTAAATTAATATATTTATTTATTTATTAACTTCCCGTAGGGTAAGTTATTGTAATGGGCCGAAAATCGGAATTGAAAATTTTTACATTTCTCGACGTTTTGAAGGTTTCTGAACATTTTGGCATACCTCAGAAAAAATGGATGTGTGTGTGTGTGTATGTATGTATGGATACAAATTTCCAGTCACGTTTGCGGGCGCACGGATCAACCGATTTGAATGGTTCAAAAAACATTCGATTCCTATTCATAGGGAAAAGAGCTGATTAGTTTTTGGCAAAGGCAGGTCCAGCCGTTTCGGAGATACGGAGCTAAATATGTGAAAAATGACAGTTTTTGAGAGAACTAAGCGTCCGATTTAAATGATTCAAAGAACTTTCTGCTTGTATTAACAAAATAATTGATTTTGGGTATAAATAATAATACAATACAATAATAAAATTTTTTGTATATCGAAAATAATTCAGATTTTATTTTTAATTCTGACTATAGTTCTAATATACTTTACAAATAATTTCAACTTTGCAATTCAGTTTATATAATTCTTATAATTATTAGACAATGTTACAATATTTATAATAATCTATTTGAAAACATTCAGTATTCCTCGAACATTTTGTTACGGTACGGGAAGTTCCAGCAATTTGCCTTAAGGCACGATGCCATAATTGCCTCAAGACAGAATTCCACTTCCAGCTAGTTTATTTATTAATTTTACAAGCCGTCAGTATAATATGTAATATTATAACAAGGCGTAAGTCAATATTTTATAGGTTTAATATAATTTAATTAATTATTAGCTATTTTATCACTTAATTTATTTACTATAAACTTATTTATATTTAGTTAATTATAATTATTTTTAAATATAACTAATTTGTGTGTTGCAAGTGTTTTTAAAATCTTTTATATTTGGCTATATTTTTCATTTCCAATTTTATACAGTGAAAACCGACTTTTTTCACTAAAAAAAACGGTTTTTGAAAACTGACAAACGCTAATCCAGACACTGCATATAATTAGGTTTTGCTGTTTAAAGATATTCTTAAATCATTTATTCGATTTTTGTAATGATATTTTTTTTCTCCGGCAGAGAACTAATCAATCTTGGCCACCACAAATTGCAGCACAGGGACCTGACCCAAATAAATCCTCTTTCAAGTATGAGTAATCAGTTTGTCAATGGAATCACAGAACAACAATTCGGTAGGTTTATTAAATCTAAGAATAGTTATTTAAACTAAACTCTTTAATTAATATTTATGATATTACAAATTTAAATTGACTTTTTTAAAATTATGTATATGTATTATCAAATGACGTGCGAACTACCAGGTATTCAAAGTAAATTTCAACAATTTGTGTGGTCAAAGTTCAGATTTTAAAATGATGAGTGCTGCTCTTACATTTATAAATGTAGGTTTATTAAATCTAAGAATAGTTATTTAAACTAAACTCTTTAATTAATATTTATGATATTACAAATTTAAATTGACTTTTTTAAAATTATGTATATGTATTATCAAATGACGTGCGAACTACCAGGTATTCAAAGTAAATTTCAACATTTGTGTGGTCAAAGTTCAGATTTTAAAATGATGAGTGCTGCTCTTACATTTATAAATGTAATGAATCAGGAATGTTATTTTTTCAGAATGATTGTTATGTTGAGTAAAAATTATGCAAAATTAGTAAGAAATGTAAATAGATAAGATATTTTAAAATGTTTGACTGGAAAGTATTTTGTTTATTATATTATAATAGCAAGTTCTTAGACACTTCTAATCGGTATGCAATATACGGTGGTATGGATTGTATAGGTATGAATTATAAGAGTAAATTAATTTCTATTGATTGACATGACTGTTGTATTAGAATGTAAGTTGATGTTTATTGAGAAATTGTGTGATGCAATAATTATGTATGCATTGGTGTTTCTGAAATATTAATAAAACGATTGTCAATGGCATGTATGTTTTTGTTACAAAAATTTCTTCTAGCGTATTATTGATTCAATCTTATGCACAAGAAAAACATATCATTTACAGCCACCATTCTTAAAGTAAAGTATAATTCATGCATATCACCAATCCTTGTGAATTTTTTTATTACCATAAATGATGAATTGGCCGGTTCAATTATTTTGTTATAGTTTTGTAAAAATTAGTGAAAAAATTGATAAAATTACTTGACTAGTTTTAAAAAAGTTTACAAAAGTTAGTTTACAAAAATTAAAATTTCCATTCACAAGGGATTTACGTTAAAACGAAAAGTATACATTGTTGTAAAAAGTTTTTACAGAACTTATAGTATGGCTGATGAGAGAAGAATGCAAATGCAGGATGTTGTATTTCAATGAGATGTATTGACTGGATATTGGTATGGTGTGCTTGCCAGTTGAAATATTAAGGTGAGCTAACAGTTTTGTTTAAAATGTGATTGATAGAATTTGGTCTAAAGAATTTTATTCGTATTATGTATCATATAGCAGGTCTGTGTGAACATAGTAAAGTAAATACATGAAATCAAATGCTCTGCTAAGAAGTTTGAAAGAAGTCTGAAGATGATTGAAATTAACAAGTACACAAATATAAATCGTCAGAATCGAGCCGTGAAGAGTATATTCCACGATTTAAAATGAAAAAGATGGGTTTCTTTTACAAATTTGTTAATTTTATTATTAAATTATACTTCTTTGATTAGCTTAACCATATATTACACACGTATTAAACGAAATATGGAATTAAATTATAAACATACATTATAAAATATTATAGGCCAACGAAAAGTAAGTTTTTTTTATTATAAAAGTTCATTAAAGTTCGGACTTTTAGTACATAAACCATATAGATATATTATGATTTGCGTTTGTACTGATCACCGTTGACCTGCATCCTTAAATAGAATGTGTTTTTAGAATGAAATGTGTTGAATAAATTTAATTAATACATTTACACTATAAGTAAGATAGCAATTGGAAATCGATTCAATTAGTTTTTGGTGAGAAGGAAAAATTTTATTTTAGAAATAAACAGTTAAAACTAGTGTGGCATCGTGCTTTCAGACAAATTCCTGGAACTTCTCGTACCGTAATGAAATATTTAAAGAATATTAAATGTTTTTAAAAAGATTATTATAAATACTGCAACTTTCATTATAATGGGCAAAATATATGGGCTTATATATTGGTCGGCGACGTTTATGTTTACATGAAAAGTAATATAAACAAATCTTAATCAAGCGGACTTGGAATTAAATGACCTTATCTCATATTTCTAAGATTTATATATAAATAAGCTTATATATAATTTATATATAAGTAAGCTTTAGAATTTTAGCTAGCATTGAAACCAAAATCTGAAACATTTTCGATATTATTAAAATATTCTTTGGAAATTAAAGAAATTTTTTTTAAAGTTATGATATAATTTTTTTCGTCCAAAAACTAATATTTCTTCACATTGTCGTCACAAGCAAAATATTTTTTGAATCATTAAAATCGGATGCTTCGTTTTCTCAAAAACTGCACTTTTAGCTAGGTATCCTCGAAACGGCTGGACCTATCTTTGCCAAAAACTAATCAGCACATCTCTCTGAATGTTTTTTGAACCATTCAAATTGGATGCTCTGTTCTCTCAGAATTATTTTCTATTTTCTGCACTTTTTACACCGTATCTCCGAAAAAGCTAGACCTGCCTCTGCCAAAAACTAATCAGCACGACACCCCATCAATAGGAATCGAATGTTTTTTGAATAACTCAAATCGGTTGAGCGGTCCTCCCGAAAACGTCGACGAAAAATAGTCATACACACATCCATGCCAAAATGTTAAGAAACGTCTAAAACGTGAAGATATGTTTTTTCCATTTTTCGACGATTACTATAACTTACCCTGGGGGAAGTTAAAAATCTATGTAAATAGCTAGATCATAATTGCTATTGATTTATGCAACTTGGCTTAAGGCAAAATGCCACTTACAACTACTTACTTACTTACTACCTATAACCTCAGAATATTCCAAACTAAAATATACATAAAATTTCTTATCGTTAGTTATGCTTAAAAATCGCAACTCGAGTATCCAATTTTCATTCATGACGAATATACTCGTCAATACACAAAATTCTGCCATTTCTCCATTTCGGCAATCACAGTTGATTAGTTAAATTAAATACTTAACTATAAATCAATTATTATTGACAGTTGATTTAAAAAATATTGAATATGTAATTATTTTTATGAATCTTCAATATTTTTACTTTCAAATCAGGCGCGAGCTTTTTCCTGTGTGATGGAACAAATCACGCCTAATTTTTTCACCGACGGAACAAACCAGTTAAATCTTTAATTTATTGTGTTGTCAACTTGTTAAATATTTGTTACTAAGATGTTCAGAGTCTAAAACAAAAGAGCATCAAAGAACCATAAAACCCAAGTGGTTGGCGGGTATTTTTTTTGGATATTGTGTGTGTAAAATTATCTTAAACTATTCTACAACTAATTCGTTATATAGTTCAATAATGTATTTGAATACACGAGATTCATATTTACAAAGCTCGAGCGCTTTTAATGAAATGCCGCGAGATACTGAAGAGGGTTATGAACAGAGGAGGTATGTGTTCAAATAGAGAATGTCTGAATTTCGAAAATGACAATCATAATTACAGATTAATACTTTACATATAATTGCACTACTATTTTACACAAGCTCGATCGAAAATTCGACAGTCAGATTTTTTTTTGGAAATGTTCACTTACAGAAGGGTCATATATGTACATTATACATTAATAATAATAATTATTATTATTATATTTTTTCAGATAGTGATGATGATATTTATGTTGATAAAACCAAAACTACTTGAACAGGCTTCCATCTAGATAATAGAAATAGAAAAAAGACAAATTATGTTTCTACTACCCTATTTTTTGTCAATTTCCATACTTCTAGAGTCCTAATTTGACTCCTCTGCAGGGGATAAAACTATAGAAAATGATATAAGAAATATTAAATTTATTGCATAACATAATCAACATAAATATTATAAATTAAGGTAAAACACAAGAGTTGGAAAATTACACAAAACAAATCAACAATTTTAAGGTTATGGCATAAGTATAAAAATAAATAAAATATAATATAGAAAACTGGTATAAAAACATTCGATGAAAATTTGAGTAATAAACATCTTAGTTCGTGCACAAGAGTAAAAAGTAATTAATTTAAAAATGCTAATCCAAAATAGAGATCAATGCAATTTTTTACAAATGTGTACATAAGCATTAATCAAACTACATTGTTGTTTTTTTGCATATAAAATATTTTTTGTTTGTGTAATTTTTTAACACCAAATTTACCTTACTTTCTAATATTTTTCTTATTTATTTTATGATAGATTTAATCTATTTCATATATTATTTCTTATATAATTTTTTGCAGTTGTGCTTACTGAATTGGGAACTAAAAAATATTTTTTTAGAAACATAATTAAGTTTTGTTTCTATTAATATTATAAAGAGAGAGGCCTGTTTATAATAAGTTTATAATAAATTTTGCATAATACATAATACATTAGGTGTTTTTAAATTTCTGAACTGAAAGTCTCTTTTGTTATTAATTTTTTTTAAGTTCCTAGAAGGAAAGGAACATTCCAAATCCCCAAAACGTTGAATAAAATAATGGAAAAACATTTTTTTTTAAATAAATACAAATGGTTTTGAATAAAAGAACTTTGAGGCTTAGTTCAGAAGCTTAGAAATTATAATATCTAGAAAACATATATAGCTTCAGACTTTCTAATTCGACGATGAAACATATTCTTGAAATGTTAATTTGCAGTCAAATAGTCAAAGTAAAAGACAATAATTATTTTGTTTCGAAGCTGTATGTGTGTCATCATTCAGCATATTTTAACAATATCTAAATAAGTTTTCTTAAAAAGTTTAAAAAATATTTTTTTAAATACATATATTATAAAAATTATTTGAAGATACACAAGCAACTATTTGTGTATCTTCTGACTATTTAGCTGCAAATTAACATTTTAAAAATATATGAATATAAGAATACACACACACACGCATATATTTATATATATATATATATATATATATATATATATATATATACATGTACGTATATATATATACATATATACATATACAATAAATGCCCAATAAAATGTTTTGGGCATCCATACAATAATAAAAAGAATTTAATGAAGTTGAATGTCTTCAAAAAAATAGCATATGTTTTGAGTCTTGGTTTGAACCATCTTCAGGGCTACGTTAAAAAAATTACCAGATTATGAATAATAATATACTTTTAAAACAATTTTGATGCGAATGTTAAAAGTTAATTTGAAAAATGTGTACATAAGCTTTAATTCAAACCAATAGGAACAACTTCAATTCTCATTTATGTGGATTGCTTTTAACTTCATTATTGTTGCTTACTATTAAACATTCAAAATCATAATTGTTTTAAAAATCTATTGTTTATTGTCTAGTTTTTTTTAATAATGTACTAAAAATAGGCCAAACCAATACTCCAAAACGTATGCTATTCTAATAGACATTATTCTTTATTATATATCATTAGTCAATTTATTATCCCTCTTATAAATTTCTATTTCAATCTGAAGTTGCGTTTAATGAACGCTCAGAAGTTGGTGTCAGTTTACATAATGTTGGTAAACGCGTCTGATTATTAGTTTGTTCCATCCCTTGTGAACCGACCAATGAGATCAAAGCACCAAGCTCGCGCCATTTCAGTATTACTCTGACCGTGGCGTTGATAACTTGTGTGCACAATTTACAAACGTTTTTGTTAGTAAAGTAAAACTAAGTAAAAAATAAACATGTTGTTGAAGCAAGTGGAAATAGAAGACTTTAGGAGGTTTGAAACACTGTTAGATATTATGATTTAATTGTATTTGCTTAAAATGTAGTTAATCGCGGTTTTATGTGGGTTTGTAGTTGTTAAAGTTTTGCCACTTAAATGGGTTCAAGACGTTATAGATTTATAAAAACGTTTAACTTAAACATTTCTTTAAGTTGAACTACGATAATTGATTTCATTTCTACAAGTTTTCAACAGTTTTCCACAGAAATATGTATAAATAAAAAAAATGGCGTCCAGTTTTCTCAGACATCATATATTTCACTTATAGTGAAAACTAATCAATGCTAATATAAATAATAATAGTGAATAACTTTCCGAATCGAATCGAATAAAAACAATGCCAATGGATATATTTTGATTTTAATTAGAAATTTTGAAATCAGTCGACTATGTTTAGTTAAAAAATAAAACGAGCTCGGACGATCTAATCACCATCTAAATTATTTCATAACTAGATTCTGATGATTTTTGTTTTGTTGAAATTTTGGATTCTATTACAATTTATCAAATATTTATTCGTATTCGAACAAAAACTTACGTTTAAATAATATATGTTAATTTATATTAGAAATTTATAAATTTTCAAATTGGCCGACGATGTATGGTCAACGATCTAATCATTATCTAAATTATTTTGTAACCAAATACAGATGATTTTCATATCGTTTAAATTTTGAATTTTATGAAAATTAATCAGGTAGTTATTCGCATTCGAAATCGAACAAATATTTATGTCCAATGGATATATTTTAATTTTTATTACGAATTTTGAAATCGGTCAATGGATGTTTGAAAGGACAAAAAATTTGAAAAAGTAACAAGTTGTAAGTAGCATTTTGTCTTAAGGCAAGTTGCTTGAACTTTCCAATACGTATACATAATCAACTCAATCAAGTAGAATTGAGATTCATTTATTTTTTTGGGTAAAATAAATAAAATGTTTAAATTTTCACTTTTCGAAAATTTTTACAAAATAATAATCAATACGATTTTCAATTGATGCCTTACATCAAAGCCAAGAAACTTATAATATCTGTAATATTATAAATTAAATTTAACACATCTCATTTCATCTATTTCGTGTTTTAAAAATGTATTAAAATATTATTTGCGTGTGGACCTCAACGGTAATCAGTAGCTGGTACGACACACAGAACGTACATTGTTCGGCGGCATAGATTCGTTTATTGATGAATTTTTATAGTTAAGGGGACATCCATTAATCACGTGATCGACTTTTTATGTATTTTTGGTCTTCCTCCTTCCCATTGGTGATACGCGGTGATATTCAAAATTAACCCCCCCTTCCCCACCAATCATCACGTGAATTTTCAGTTACGGGAAAAAATTGTAAAATTATTAAATTTATTTTAAAAATGTTTGGATTTTTTTTAAAAAAAAAAAACCATTTAAAAGATAAATATATGTGATATCTTACTATATCTCCCCCACGTGATATTTCGTGATTTTTTTTGTCAAACCCACCCTAAAAACCTCCCGTGATTAATGGATGCACCCTAAATCGCTTTTCTTAGGCCTATAATACATTAGTATGCTATTTAAGACGACGGAATTTGTTGTATACTAGCTGACCCGGCAAACGTTTTGCTAAGTAAGTTAGGTATATTCTCGACAATTTTAGAGAATCAAAAATATTAATACATAAATAAAAAATAATATAACTTAGAAAATGTTTTATAAATACCAATCAGTATATAATTATACAAATGAGATCTTTCCGAGCACCGTGTTTGAGAAAAATATGCCAAAAAGTGCATTTTCAAATTAACATTTCAAAAAAGTTGATATTTTGAGTTTCTAGTAACACTTGCGACCCGTTAAATAACGTTTTTGTGTATAAATAAAACTACAAACTTAACTACTTACTACAATTTATTCATAATTAAATAATATTCACGTTAAAGTAATTCAACATCATCTGTCAAAAACATTTGACATTTCACTATTAGCCACCGTCCATTGTTTTATTCAAATTACGCTTTTACAAAAAATTTTAAACTAAAAATGTAAAGTTTCTACGCGATTTTGAAATAATATCTCACCTTTCCGACAACCTACTGATTGGCATGAATTTTTCAAGACTAAGACTGGCCAAATGGGTTCAGCCGTTTTCGAGTTTTACTCGGACATTTGAAAGAGAGCTCCATTTTTATATATAAGATTAGATTAATATGTACCAATTATGAAGTGAAATTATTGTTAGAAAAATGATGGGGGAACGCAACGGTTTTTTTTTTAAATAGGACACGTTACGAAAAGGTTGGAAACCACTGACTGAATGGGCATGATTGGTTCAAGGTTCAATATTTTTCAACGTTTAACATTTACATACATAACGAACATTTACAAAGACTTTTTTTTAAAGTATTATTATTACAAAGAATTTTTGTTTAAAATTAATTAATTAATCAACATTGATGGTGTAACTCAAAAAATCGTTCATTTTCGTTTTTCCTCGTAGCGTGTTTCGCACCTCTTTTTCAGTGTTTCATATATTCGCCGGTAGTTGCTCTGTTTTCGTTTGCATCGCTAATCGTCAAATGTCAGTTCGTGTTCCACGCCATTTTGCATCTTTACAATCGATTTCGCTTTAACAATTTAACTTTAAATTGTTTTGTAGTTTTACGTTTAGTTTATAATTGTGAGTACACTATTGGATGCTGATATGTAAATAATATAAATTATTTATTGCAGATATATAATACATTTTTTTAAAGTTTGATAAAGTAAGTTCACAATATGTGTAAGGGATGAAGCGTGATCTTTGTATAAAATTAAGGTGACCAACTGGGTTTTGTACTCTTTTTTTGTAAACCGTACTTTTTGCAAATCCTGCGCTCTGATTGTACTTTATTATATAATTTTATACAAATACTTGGACTCTATTAAATATTAAAATAGAATGGAAAGAAGTTTCTTCAGTAATAATTGTTATTACTTACAATTTTGTCTTTAAAAGGATAAGGTAGCATAATCTCGAATACTTTAAAGAGTAAATTTACGTTTAAATGAAGTAAGAGTTAAGAAATGGAATGCCGAGGAAATAGAACTTGACAAAAGATAGTCAGAAATCTTTCAGCATTTTAGAGTAAAAGTTTTTATATTGTTCAAATTATATTTTTTCTTGGTAATGATAATTAGAGCAGTGAGAAGTCAGAACATTTTGTTAAAACATTATCTGCTGTCTTAAGGGTGTATTCTAGTGTAAGACTTGAAACAAATCGTTTTTTTTTTTCATATTTTTAAAGTTTAATTATTTAAGAATGTGTGTACAAGTAGGATTTTTTCATATTTAAATTATTATTGGAAATGTAGCTGTTTAATCGACGTTTCCTTCCATTTTCAAAACTTCAAGCTCGGTTTTATTTTTACTCACGTTTTCTTGAGTTTTATAAGACCGATTCACTGGAAATTATCAAAGAATCTTCTTTGTAGACTTCTATTGAGCAAATACTAAACTCATTTGCAACTTTCAATGTTGACTATTTCTAAAAAATTTGAGTAAATTTAAAAAGTGGTAAGAAATATTATCCTTTTTCAAACGGTCAAAAATTTTTTCTTTAGGGTCTGTTCAAGTATTACGTAAGCACTTTAGGGGGGCGGGGGGGTTATTGATTTGCTTATTTTGGGTGACATGGGGGCAGGGGGGTCTAGATGATGATTACGTCATAGTTTTTTTTTTTTTTTAATAATTTTTACAACTGTCCTGAAACGGACAACATGTAAAATATTTGACATAAAAAAAAACTGAGTTACCATTTTTGGCACTTTTTGCCCCATATCTCCGGAACGGCTAGACCTGCCTTCGCCAAAACCTAATCAGCACGTCTCCTTATCAATACGAATCGAATGTTCTTTGAATTATTCAAATCGCTTCATCCGTATTCTCGAAATCGTCGACGAAAATTTGTATACATTAATTGCAAAATGTTTACGTAAGCATGGGGGGAGGAGGTAAGAGCTTTGCTTACTTTTGATGACAAGGGGGGTGGGGGGGTGAATAATTGTAAAAATCTGCTTTCGTAATACTTGAACGATCCCTTAACTTAATCCTTGTATATGCCATTTTGCCACATCAATCTAAATTAATAATTTTTTTCCCATGTTTGATCATGACATGTTATGTTTCCTTTATTTTGCAAAACTTGCTCGTTTTTATCTTAAACTGCCTATGTAAATATGGTGCCCACGATTTCTTGAGTTTTAAAGGACCGACTCACATGAAATTATCAGAGAATCTTCTTTGTAGACTTCTCTCGAGCATATTCTAGCTCAGTGGTTGGGAAACCAAATGGGGTAAAAATGGAATTTTTGGGGGTAAAATTAATTATTTTTAATTGATATTCATTGTATTTGCTACATAATTGTCCATATGGGGAGTAATATCTTTTTGCGATGGGGGTAATATCAAGTTGGAGGAAAAAATTTGGGTAATGATTAAAAAAGTCTCCCGACCTCTGCTCTAGCCTCATCCACAACTTTCAATTTTTACTATTTAAAAAAAAATCAAAAAACAAGTGTTAAGAAAAATTATCTTTTTTCAAACAGTAAATTTGTTTTAAAAGTTGATTCTAGTATATGCCATTGCTGCATCATTGTAGATTAATAATCTTTATTTCCCATATTGGTTTACTAGAAGGGTTGCAACCGTGGACAGGGTCACATGTCAATTTTTTGAGAGCCCTCGCTGCAACAACTGTTAATTTTTAAAATAACTCACAATTTTTTTTTCTGTTGTACTCTCGTGACGTTGATAAATATATTATAAAAAAATGATGATAATTTTAAAATAACATGAATTCATGTCTCATCACTAGAATACCCCCTCAACAGTCTTTATTTAATATGAAAAATAAAAGTCCTTATACAAACATTTTTACTTAGCAAAAAATATATATTTCAAAGAAAAATATATTGCTTATATTACAATAAGAAATATAATAAGAAATAACAAAAATATATTTATTATTATTATTAAAACAAAATCAATCAATTTTATCACCTATAAAATATTCTTTTGGAACAAAAAATAGTTGGTCGCCTTGATAAAATATGATATTATATATCACATTGACATAAATTATTTTATTTTGATAAATCTTATTAATCTTATTTGATTTATTAGAATGGCATATGTGCAAATTGCTGAAGATGAAACAAGTGAACCAGTGGAATTACCGCTCGAAGAGGATGGAACCCTGCTCTTATCTACTTTGACCGGACAATATCCAGGAGCTTCGGGTTTGAAATTTCATAACCCGGGTTCAAAAGCTATGCGTGGCCTTAGATTAGCTGATGGCAGATTACACCCCCCAACTCAAAGTGGTTGGCCAGACGAAGTTTTCTTCTGCGTCTTTCCAAAAGGTAATATGAATTAAAATTGTTATTTATACTTAATGTATGATAATTTGACTACTAAGCAAATAATTGTGCTGCAGCATTAGTTTCATTTAGGTTTAGCAAGTGCAATCATAATTTTCTTATGCACCTATATTAATATTTAATATGTTTTCAATTGGACAATTAGAAATTGTTAATATTGCATTACTAATTGCTATATATTTGTTTTCATCTTATGCAGAAAACAAACGAAAATCAGATGATACTTTAGAAAGTTCAACAGCTAAAACTAAACGCGTGGAAAGTAAGACACGTACAACTGATTTAGTTGTATTGGGGATACCTTGGAAAGTTACTGAGGATGAGCTGAGAAAGCATTTTGAAAACTTTGGGGAAGTTCTTATGGTGCATGTTAAGAAGGACAAAGCTGGCCAATCAAAAGGATTTGGATTTGTACGAATGGGCTCATATGGTGCTCAAGTTAAAGTTTTATCTCAGAGGCATATGATTGATGGTAGATGGTGCGATGTCCGAATTCCCGGCCCCAAGGTACACCAATTAAGATTTTTTAATATTATACTCTATTATTATCATTAATACCTTGATATATTAATATGTATAAAGTAATTTTTCAATTTGGCAATTAAGTGACTAACTACATAATTTTATTAATTAACATTAATATTATTTTATGCAGAGTTTTTTTTGCTGAATGACGACACACATACAGTGCCAAAACATAGATAATAATTATTTATTGCTTTTTATTTGCTGCAAATATCATTTTGGGAATATGTTTTGATATTGAACAAAAATTTCATAGTTTATATTATATTACATATAGTAAATTTTATTATATTACATATTTTAATTTTATGATTAAATATTTTACATATATAAATAAATTATATATATATATATATATATATATATTTAAATATATATAATTTATTTATATATGTAAATATATATATAAATTTTGTTTTGTATAACGAAATTAACAACATAAAGGTTTCTCAGGAAGGCACAGGTAGACTATTGCCTTCTAAAGTCTTTGTGGGTAGATGTACCGAAGAAATGACTGCTGAAGATATTCGTGATTATTTCTCACAATTTGGTGAAGTGGTCGATGTTTACATTCCCAAGCCATTCAGAGCATTCAGTTTTGTTACTTTCCTTGATCCGGAAGTAGCACAAAGTTTATGTGGAGAAGATCACATTCTCAATGGTGTGTCTGTTCATGTGTCGACAGCGGCTCCAAAATCAGAACTAAATAAGATGCAAAACAATAAAAACAGTAAGTTTTTGATATCCTTTAGTCAAAAATTGTATATTATCTATTTAAAAAAACAAACACACACACACACACACACACACACATATATATATATATATATATATATATATACACTACACCAAGCTATTAGTAACTGGAACATTTAAACTAATTATTTTTGACTACTAATTTTTTGTTACATTCTAGTGTGTACAGATTAACTAATGTCTAAATACGAGAGTATTTATAGTGTAGTGCATTGTTGTATAATTGATTTTCTTTTTTCCATTAAATGACGGTCTCAACGAAGACTGAAACGTATGGATAAATAAAGTATTTCAAAACTACTTTAGTTTTTTTTCTTTACTTGGTGTTACTGCCCCAATCAAATTAACTCATCAAAATATATATCAACACCAAATTCACATACTTCAATATATATTGAAATGATATAAGTTGTTGGTTAGGGGTTGCTGGGGTTGATCCACACTGTCTCCAGGATACAGATCAGTCCACTCTTTGGTCCACGTCGTTGCTAGTAAGTTACTGTCACATAGAATCAGTTGTAGATTTCTTGGTCCATCCTTTCAATAGTGTGTAGAATCCTATCAACTCCGAGCCTGGTGTCGTGGGCACAGCTGTAAGTTGTAATATAATATGATAAACAGTGGTTGTAATCTCTTCGGAATCGTGAGCACTTTATTTAGGTATGGGCTGAAAGAGTTTCTCTACGCAAATATAATTGAAACACTGATTTCAGATAACTGTCACTTTTATTTAAATGTTCAATTACCCTTTTGACTTATCAACGGACATAAATTCAGGTTTTGATGTTAAGACATACTCTAGACTCTCTCTTAAGACTCACTAAATTTGATGGACTATCACTATTTTATTTAATAGATATAGGATGTGACATATGTGCACTTCCGCATTTGCGCTCTGGCCATGTACTTTGATTATTTATCAAATCCGCAGAAATTGCATTATTACATAATAAATATATATATATGTATATATATATATATATATATATATATACATACATATATATATATATATATTTATTTACTTATTTCTATATATATTTATTTATTTATTTACTTATTTATTTATATTATATACATCTGTTTGCTGGCATGCTTGTGTATGTCAATTATTGATTTATATTAAGTGCTAAATTTTTCAACAGATAATGGACAAATGAATCAGAATGGCAGACCTAATGATGGCAATTATACTGGTAATGGAATTGGTCAACCGATCAATGTTTTAAATAGTAATGGTAAGTGCAGTAGAATAGAAAATTTACCTTTAGTTGTTTTCAGTTGTCATGATGATTATTAACAAGTAACCAGTGGCATTCTTTGTTATTGTATTGAAAATTAAATTTGTATTGCAATTGTCTTTGCTTTTTTTTTCACTTGAAATTGTAGGAAATAAATTTTAAGTTATTCAATCAACTTCAAATAAATTGCTAGAAATAATGATTTTAAAAAATAGATTCTTACCAAGGACGTGGCAACATGGATATGCCTAACCTGCAAACACTTGGATTAAATTCCCAAGGGCAAAATACCAATGGGCAAAATCTTGCCAATATGGGTGAGTAAAAATAGTAATCACATGACATTGAAAATCACTAATTTTATTCTTATAAACATGAATCATAATATTCATATTAAGGGAGATTGTTACAGATAAGATCAGTAATAAGTGTACATTTACGAAGCTATGGAATGCTTTAATCTTTTTTTTTTCAAATATAAAACTTTGTATAATATGAAAAGATTCAATTATAAATATTTAAAGGTTTAGCAGCGCTTAATGCCCTTCCCATGAATCCTGCTCTTGTTGCAGCAGCCCTTAATCAAGTTGGATGGGGAGGTTTACTTGGCAATCTTCAGCAGCAATTACCCCCAGGAAATTCAGGTAATAATTGCATTTTCAGATTGAATATTTTTTAGATAGTTTTATTGGTGGTAATTCTGTACCAATTGTAGAAAAAATGATGTAGTAAATATAATTTAATTGAAAATCAATGTAATAACTGTAAACATAGTAAAATGAAAAATGAGTTAACTAAATAATGAAAATTAAATAAAATTAAAATGAATGAATAACGTCATAAATTTGATGAAATTCAAAGAAATAGAACAACATAATATTTAAAATTTAAATTATTAAAAGTTTGGAGTTTCTATTAAGTGTTATGTATATATTTTTGAAAAAGTTGTATATGAATTATGAAATATATATATATAATGTAGAATAATGCAATTACAGGAAATAATCAAGGGTTTAGCCCAGGCCCAATAAATAACTATGGTTCACCAGGACCGAACAATCAACAGCAACCGGGTCAGAACGGTCCAACTAACAATTATTTGAACTGGATGCCACAACATCCTAATGGTAGCCAACAGGTACAAAAATAATTCAATAAATTAGCAGTAACATTAATCAGTGAAAGCTTATTTTAGATTTGATGATAATGCTTCACTGGCATTTGGATTATACAAAACTAACTAAACTTTGATAAATAATGTTACTGCATTTTTTATAACATGTGCTTCTATATTTTTGTTGGATGCAAATTTAAAAAACTTGGTTTTTATCATTTTTTGATGTCACAGTGAGTTACATGACTTTGCATTTTTAAAATCCTGAAATGGTCAGATGGACCACTACATAAATAATTATTGGTAGTATAGAAGCATATGAATTAGTTGACCTAAGTCTAAACTAATTAAAGATCAAGCCTTTGTTTTTATCTTTAATTGGTGGACGCCTTTGACTAAAAGTAATATTTCATCTTACGCAAATATTTTCTAGTAAAGTTTCAGGAATCAGTTTGATATAAATGAAAAAAAAAAATGCAAGTTTGACCTATTATGAAATACACATTAGATACAAGGAATAAACAATTGTTTATTCAATCAGATGAACATTTACTTTTCCTTTGAGTAACTGAAAGTAATATCTGATTAGATATGGTAATAACATGTTGATACACTAGTTTGAGTGATTGTGAGTACAATTGTGGTATGAACACATTCACACATTTGTGTTGACAGTTCAGTTTTTGTAACTGCCGAGTCAATAAAGGTTCTTTGAAGAAAGTCTTCAGAAACAGTCCGAATTGGTCCATTTTTTTAAAATATTAATCAGAAACATTTCATAAGGGAAAAATATTTTTTTTAATGATTAAACTATGTATGCTATTTATATTAGGAAATAAGTTTTTGAGTGGATTTTTTCGAAAGAAAAAAAAAATGTGTATTAATTTTCATATTCATTATTATTATTTCATACAGATCAAAATCAAAATAATTTTTAATGATGAATGATATTTAAAAATTTCATAGGAGAAAAATATTTTTTAAAGATTGTTTTTAATGAATGTAACTATTTTCTACATCTTACACATTTTTCTTATCTACACTGGTTTGTTTTTTTAATTATAACGACTTCACGCATATCTTGGGGAATCCCTGGGCTTAACCGACACAACGTTTAACAAAACAGCGGGTTATTACTAAACAGATACCTATTTCTTCTAGTATTTGGATAAATGATTTAATTGTTAATACACATTGTGACTTTAGGTAGGAGTTTTAATATATTTTAAATCTGCCAATATAGTAGAGTCAGTAATTTTTGTCAGTAGGATTATTTGCAGAAAGTCTCCACAAGCAGCTCTGATTTTATTCTATTTTTTTCAAGTTTGTTTTTTAGTATTATTCATAATCAAAAACATTTGTGAAGAGGTGATATTTTTTATTATTGTTTAAAGAATATGATTATTATTTACATTGAGAAATTAGTTTGAGTGAATTTCTTTAGAAAAAAATATTTGTCTATTATTTTTTGTGTTATAAGTACAGTTGTTATTAATAATTAATGTATTCGAGCTAGGTTTGGCTGCTTCAGGACAATTTTTTTTATTTGAATGTTTCGTAATTTTTGAGAAATATGGTGGGTATTCTTGTAAGAATTCGAAATTATGTATATATTTTAAAGTCGTGATTTTTTTCAAAAAAAAGGATCTTGAAGTAGTTAAAATGCTTGAATACCTCAAGAGCCTTATGATATAGTCAATTCTACACTTAATATAATTAATTTTAATTTTGCTGGAAATGTTCAAGTATTTAACAAAAATCACAGTGCACATATTTTTTTATCTATTCAGGAAATTTTCATAAAAAATGATTATTTCCAAAAATGAACAAAACCGGTGCTGATTCTGAGGACTTTCTAATTTTCAATCATTCATGCCTTTATTACTCGGCTACGACATTATGTTCAGTTTGCTAATTTAAAATAATCATGTTTTTGCCGCAGACATTTTGACTTGGATTTCGTTACTTGCTGCATAAAGACTGGACATAATTTTTGGCAATTTTTATTTGTGGTATGTGAGTAAATATTGGATGTGATACTACAATGTATATTGAATGACTTTATATAACATTTTATTATATATGGAAAAATATAAATAGATTTGAATATGTTTTTTTTTTAAGTGTTACTAATTGGTTCTCCAATGTGTACACATGAGATGAATATATATTAGCTGTATTATTAATGAACTTTTATCTATTTGTGTAAAAGTTTTTAATTTGTCTATGGAATTTAATACATCTGATTTATGAATGTGAGGAATATGTATATATTTAATGATGAAGTTAATTTGTATACAAGATTTACTCTTTAAATGTGATGGAGTACGTTTTCTTGAATAAATTACAAGAATGTTTATCAGAGAATATGTTACCCAACATTTTGTTTATATGCATTTTATATTTTGCAATTACTAATAAATTCTTAGTAATCGGAATGTTGTGTTTGTTTTTATACTCTCTTTCAGGGAATTCTGTAATTAATATTCTGTTGACAAATAGTGATACGAGCTTTATGTTTGTGTTTCTGTGAAATTATGTCTAGAATTCTGGTTTATTTTCCATTTTGAATGTTGCATAACTATATGTAATGTGATAATAAAGAATTTATGTATCAGATTTTTTTTGCAGAATTTTATATTTTTAAAATTAGAAACTTGTTATGATGTATTTTTTGTATAATATCGTTTTTACTTAATTAATATAATTTTTATGCTGTAAACGCGCTATGCGGTGTAAAACTATTTATTATTAAAAATTTACTATTTACGTTTTATAGGAAATTATATTTCTATACTTTAATAGATAATAATATTTTGATATATTTATAAAATATAACATCATTTACAAAACATTGTTGATTTTTATTATTATATAATATAACTAACGATTTTCACTAAAATAAATTTGCGGTCAATATCGGTCAATATTGGTCAATATCGTTCAATATCGATCAATATCGGTCAATGTTGGTCAATATCGGTCAATATTGTTCAATATTGGTCAATATTGGTCAATATTGGTCAATATTGGTCAATATTGGTCAATATTGTTCAATATTGGTCAATATCGGTCAATATTGGTCAATATTGGTCAATATCGGTCGATATCGGTCAATATTGTTCAATATTGGTCAATATCGGTTAATATTGGTCAATATTAGTCAATATTGGCCAACATCGGTCAATATTGGTCAGTATTGGCAAATATCGGCCAATATTGGTCAATATCGGTCAATATTGGTCGATATCAGTCAATATTGGTCCAATATTGTCAATGCAATGCATTATAGGACAATTCAAGAACCCCGATGCTACCTAATTCGGATCGAAATTAATCGGACGATAAATATTTGGAGCTATTACTAATTTAAATAGACAAGAACTGTATCGTATATATGTAATTAGTTAATTACAGGTATGTACTACTGTTTAAATGTAAGTTGTTTCAAAATGTTACACATTAGTTTAAATTATTTTCATCCCTTTTACTGATTTATAACTTAATTATTTTGTATTCGGTTTGTATTCAGTATCCAATCTAACTAAAATTTATATATTATTTCATGTTTCCCATCAAGTTTTCAATAATATATATTTACTAGCAAACCGGGCGAACTTCGTTTCACCACCAGATGGTTTCATTTTATGTAACATTTCGTTTGGTGATTAAAAGATGAAGAAAAAAATGCCGGCCGTTGAAATTGAAAAAAAAATTGCACAATACACGTAATTGATTTGACGGTTTCCAATTGAAATGTTAGAAAACGAATAACTTATTTTTTTACTTTTTTTGTGCACAATTTCTCAGTGAACGCAATGCCGGTTTGTCACATGAAATTAACTAAGCAGAGAACGTAGCTGTCAAACAAATGATTGGCAGTCAAACCAAAAATATTAGTTTGCAGTACATGCTAAGTATCAAAGATGACGCTGTATGTGAAAAAAGAAAAAGTGTTTTCCGCTTTTCTGTTGAAATCTTTCTTCAATTTTCTTTGCTATAAACCTCACGGAGCCCGAGACCTTTCCAACGAATGCAAAATCGTCGAAATCGGTTCGTGCGTTCTGGAGTTATATCGTCAGGAAGGAAAACCCAACTTATTTTTATATAATAGATAATGTCAGTGAAAATCAAATACTGTGTGATATCTTATCTAAATATGTGTATTTTTTAACATATCAAATTTGTTGTTCAAATGTTAGTCCAAAAAATATTCGCTCTACGCAATTAATAATAGTTTTGCTAATTTTTCATTGTCATATTTATGCAACTTTGTATTCTATTCATACTTTTCTATATCAGGTCAAATGTGTAACCGGCATATTGCAAAATAATTGTATCATATTTGCACATTACAATGTGTATAATAATTCGTCGGATTCAAATTTGGCGCCAACATGGCCGCTTCGCTGTCATTCGAAACTGTCATAGTCTAAGCGAAACCGGTGGCGCCTCTACCGTGACGCCGCCGAATCACGTGGCAACGCTGCGAAATCCCTTCTTTTGCCTGATAGCTGTCAACGAGTGCACATGGTATATGAAAAGAGAGGTTAGTGGTTGAATTATTCGAAACTGGCAGTGTTTTAGTATTTGTTTAGAGAGTGTTTTGTGTTTGTTAATATATTCTATGCTCGAGTTTAAATCTTACGTTTGTGCTAGAACTTTTAGTAGTCATTTTATGCAACAAGTTTTAGTTTTCACGATTGTGACATTCGGCGCCATTAAAAGTGAAGCGACATTACAAGGCAAGGTAGTAAATGAATTTAATTATTGTTTTTTTTTGTAGTTTTTGCGTTAACTTTTAATAAATTATCAACTTAAACAAAACTATATAAATTAGTTACAAAACATTCGTGATTCTAGTTTTACCAACACGCAATTTGATTGACTATTAAAATTAGAATGTAATCGTATCATTTAGAATGATGCAATGAGGTTGTTACGTTTCTTGTTTACATTTTTCTTTTAACTGTTTTCAATTCATGAATACGTTTTATGTAGAACCATTTGAAAATACTAAACTGTATTGATGCATTATTTTATTTTTTGGCATTTGGATGAAATCTTATCTAGGACACGATATCTTATCTATCTTATTTTTTGGTCAATGATTTTTATTTTGACATTTTTTGTCAATGTTTTTTTTCAATTTTTTTTTGTCAATGATTTCTTTATTCAATTTTTTTGTCAATGATTTTTTTCTAATCTTTTTGTTTTTTTTTTTAAATTTTTTTTGTCAATGATTTTGTACAATTTTTTTGTCAATAATTTTTTTCTAAATTTTTTGTTTTTTTTAATTTTTTTGTCAATGTTTTTTTGTTTTTTTAATTATTTTGTCAATGATTTTGTACAAATTTTTTTGTCAATGATTTTTTTCTACTTTTTTTTTTTTTTTTTAATTTTTTTATCAATATTTTTTTCTTTTTTTAATTCTTTTGTCAATGATTTTGTACAATTTTTGTCAATGTTTTTTTCTATTTTTTTTGTTTTTTTTTTAATTTTTTTTGTCAATATTTTTTTGTTTTTTTAATTACTTTGTCAATGATTTTGTACAAATTTTTTGTCAATGATTTTTTTTTAATTTTTTGTTTTTTTTTTTTTAAATTTTTTTTTGTCATTTTTTCCTAATTTTTTTTGTCATTTTTCTCTAATTTTTTTTTGTCAATGAGTTTTTTCAAAAATTTTAGTTTTTTTAATTTTTTTGTCAATGTTTTTTTCCTAAATTTTTTTGTCGATGATTTTTTTCTAAATTTTTTTTTTTTTTTTTAATTTTTTTGTCAATGTTTTTTTTTTTTTTTTTTAATAATTTTGTACATTTTTTGTCAATGATTTGTTTTTAATTTTTTGTTTTTTTTATTTTTTTTGTCGATGATTTTTTCTATTTTTTTTTTTTTTTTTGTCATTTTTTCCTAATTTTTTTGTCATTTTTTCCTAGCTTTTTGTCAATGATTTTTTTCATTTTTTTTTGTTTTTTTTATTTTTTTGTCAATGTTTTTTTGCTAATTTTTTTTTCTGTCAATGATTTTTTTCGAAATTTCAAAATTTTTGTTTCAAATTCTTTTCTCTATGATTCTTGTCAAATTTTACAATTGCAATCGATATTTTCGAGTTTACGTTATTTTGTTCTCAATCGATTTCTAATTCAGTTGTTTTGTTTGTTTGTTTGTTTGCAGGTTCGCAAGAATCGTCACGTGCACATTGATAGCAATGATTGTTTGAGATTAATTCGCTCGTTTGTTATCATAATTTATTTGTATTATAGTTTGTCATCTCTCGATTAACATAATAATTATAATTTTATAATAATGATAATGTGATGTAATATTAGTATTGACAATAGATTCGATTATGCCATAATGTTGAATTTGTCGTATTTTAACTTTTGTTCGGATTTACTGTTTAATAAACCTAATTTGTTTCCAATATAATTTGTCGTTTCATTTCATCAATTTCATTATTTTTTAATTTTTTTTCAGAAATTTTGAAGTGAGGATTTGATCATCAGGATTTATTTGTTTGCCCCAAAATTTTTTCCAAAAACATTTTTACAAAGAATTTTTACCCCAAAATTTTTTTCAAGTTCCAAATTTTTTTCCAAAAATTTTTTTTCCAAGATTTTATCGACAAAATTTTTTTCCCAAAATTTTCACAAATTTTTTTCCAAAAAATTTTTTTCCCCAAATTTTTTTCCATAATTTTTTCGAAAAATTTTTTTTCCAAAAATTTTTTTCCTAAAATTTTTTTGACCAAAAATTTTTTTGACCAAAATTTTTTGGGCCAAAATTTTTTTGACCAAATTTTTTTTGGGCCAAAATTTTTTTGATCAAATTTTTTTGGGCCAAAATTTTTTTGATCAAAATTTTTTGGCCAAAATCTTTTTGACCAAAATTTTTTTGACCAAAATTTTTTTGACCAAAATTTTTTGGGCCAAAATTTTTTTGTCCAAAATTTTTTTGACCAATTTTTTTTGGGCCAAAATTTTTTTGACCAAAATTTTTTTGACCAAATTTTTTTTGGGTCAAAATTTTTTGACCAAAATTTTTTTGACCAAATTTTTTTAGGCCAAAATTTTTTT